TCTCGAGCCAGGTAAATTCATAATTTGTGCTTAACTTTCTCGTTTAAGGTTTACTGAGGATTAGTTTTGAAGTGTTATCCTTTTGAACTTTAGTTAGGTTATGGATTTCACTAGGTTTGTTTTCTATTTTTGTAGTAGCTAACTACAAATTTTGTTTTATGCTATATCCAGTAGTTTTGCATGCTACTATGTACATGTGTTGTGTTTTTTGCCAATATAGTTCAGTCCAGAAAAGAAAATGCCAATATTACCAATATTGGCATATCTGCACTTTAAGAGGGGAAAATCAATAGTGTATTCAGAAATAGTATTGGAAGCTTCTATAGGGAAAATTGGTTATTGCATATCTGATTTTTCTGGAGCAATTTATGTTTTCAGGGGAGTCGTTCTGAAGGAAATTTGCCTGTTCCGCTTCATGTTCATCCATCTACACCTACTCATCAGGCTGAGATGTTTCATGCTCGTCAATCTGATGGAGCAAATGAGAACACGCCCTTGACACAACCCGACCAAAGAAAGAAGGTCGGAGAGGAGGATGATTTTAGGGTGCCTGTATTTGTTCAATCAAGGATGGGTCTTTGTCATAGTAAAACTCAAATTGGTATTGATAAGGAAAAACTTGCTCCAATTGGCCCATCTCATTCTGGCCATACACATTCTGGCCATACAGTGAAACTCAAAAATGTGGGCAAGAAGGATCCAAAACAATTAAGCTCCCCAACTACTCTCAATTTGAGACGAGAATTGAGAAGTGAAAGAGAAGAGGATCTAATAAAAGTAAGTGGCCCGGCTAGGGACCATTCAGCAAAATCTGCCACAAAAATATCAACTAGACAAAAGATTGATGGGCCTGCGGAAGAAGTAAGTGCATCTCCAAATCAAGAGTATGCAGACTATCCTGTTCCTAGATTCAGCAGGTTATCTGGGAGTGATGCTTGCTTGCAACAAGAGTCTAGATCTGGATCACAGCCAAACATCACTGGTCAAGGTGATGGTCTTGTTGAGTGTACAAGAGATGTAGAGAAGGGAGCTGTTTTCCAGGAAAGAAGTCTGTCTTATTCTGGGGAGGATCCTGGTGGTCCCAATGAGCTTGATGATGACAGTGAATACCATGGAGATAGAACGTGTATTTCACCTCAAATGGGACATGTAGACAAAAGTGATGATGTCTCAGAGACTTCCATGGTGGATTCTATATCTGGCTTGGATATCTCTCCCGATGACGTTGTAGGAATAATAGGTCAGAAACATTTCTGGAAGGCAAGAAAAGCAATTGTCAAGTAAGTCTCTATTTTCTCCAATAGCTGCTCCAATTCAGTTGTTACTTTGTGCTTAATTTGAAGTTTACCTTTTTCCAAATATAGTACGTGTTTAGCTGTCCTTGTGAAGCATTTTGGTCTCATAATACCTCTGTTTTATTTAATATTTCTGCACTTAATGCTTTGGATTTTTTGTTTCATAAGTGTTTTAGACTGTTATTTACACCATCGAATATAACAACTAGGTGTATAGACTGAATTTTGTTTTAAATGCGACTTTGAGGGAGGTGATATTTCATAGTGCAGAGTCCCTGGATCCCTTCTAAAGTGGAATTTCTATTTGTTAAAAGGCCCTCGATAACATTTTAACAGTGGATATGGATCATCTTACAGCAGGGAAACATACATCTTAATAGAGTTATATTGTGCAACGCGACCTCCGAGACAGCGGATCATCTCAATATTCATTGCCCTTTTGTGTCTGCCTTTCGGGTGTATTCCTGTCTCGGTTTCGTAATGCTTTGGTTTTTTGGCCACTGGGGAAATTTTCCCTTCATGGCACTTGAGGGCTGGGAGCAAGGAGGGAACAAGTGATGAAGGATTATCCTTGGGACTACATTTTGTGGATCTTGGAGTATATTTGACATTGTGGAATTGGTGGTGGACATGGTGGTGAGGAGGATTACATCTCTTATGTAGTGCTTTGATGTCATGTGTTGGAAAATTTGGTTGGGTTGGGGTTGCGTACTCTTTTTATGTGCTTTATAGAATATGAGATTTCCCCTATATATGGCTTCTTCTCATCATTACATGTTCTTTTTTCATTATTGAAGGTTTTGTTTTGTTCTTTTCCTGTACTATAAGAAAAGAGCTGTAAGTATTTACATGTGAATTAGAAAGCTCTATTATGCGCTTGCTGTCCGACTTTGTTGTAACGAGGATCATTCATGACATCCATACAACTGAATGTATAGTTCTTATATGGTTCTAATTGAATATTACATATTTGGAGCTCTAATTATGTGAAATAAAGGAGATTTGCAGACATCTTCTTGATTTATATTGCAGATAGTTGCTATGTTTTGGAATCTGTTTTAGCATTTAGCTTTTGTTTTTATTGCTCTGAAGATAGTGTTTTTAGCATTTAGCATTCCTTTTTATTGTATTCATTATTATTATTATTTTATTGATCTGAAGTGCCTCATTGTTTATAACTATTTTCTGATGTGCAATTTTCTGAATCCATCCTTAAGATGTTTGCTTCCCATGTTTGGTAAATGTCATATTTGCCTGCACTCCTGATCAATATCGAGTCTAAGGATTAGCTTGGGGGTGTGGTCATGTGGAGTTAACAGGCTATGGTGCTTTTCATGGGTTATGCAGATATTTTGTGATTAAAGCACCTGGTCCTTTGGCTGTTATCTCTTAAATAATGAGAGTTTTATATTGAATATATTACACAGTGAGGATTGTTTTGGAATAAATGATTCTATCAAGTGCCTGATCCTTCATTTCTGTCCAGTTCTTTTTTTTTTCTTGTATTGGTTTTGGTTTTGTGTTTTGCCCGGCTTCATATGATTTGGTATATGTTGTACAATTATGTTTTTGATCCAACTCCTGTTACTTTCTACAGTCAGCAAAGATTGTTTGCAGTGCAAGTATTTGAGTTGCATAGGCTCATTAAGGTTAGACTATAACATAGTCTCTGACCCTGTAATTCTGCTCCTCTTGGAATGCAATTATGAGAATAAACATATATGTGTATATAGTCCCAAAAAAAAAATATGTATATATTAACACAGAATAAATGATGCTATTTGAACCCCAAAAGGACTACAGGAGGGTAGATTTTTAACTTTCTAGTTCTTTTCAACAGGTCCAACGACTGATTGCTGGGTCTCCTAATCTTTTGCTTGAAGATACTGCTTTCCTAGGCACATCTTCTTTAAGGGGTTCTCCTGCAAAGAAACTTTCATCAGAGTATGTTGTAAAGCCACTACTACGTGTTGTAAAGCGCAAACATGAACCTGAGAAGCCAAACAACAAAATTGAATGTTCCGCAGAAAATGCAGTTGGGAAAACATCTCTTTCTTCTGTGAAAAATGGTAGTCAGACTTCAAATTATGGGCCATATGTAGGGAACCCACAGCCAACACCTGTCGCTACTGACAATAAAGCCAGTCCTTGGTGTTTCCATCAATCACCTGGACACCAGTTGTTAATTCCTGTAATGTCTCCCTCTGAAGGACTTGTATACAAGCCGTATCATGGACCTGGATTTGTGGGACCGGTTTGTGGAGGATGTGGACCTCTCAACTCAACTCCCATGACGGGTAACTTTGTTAAGCCAAACTATGGGGTTCCAGCTTCTCATCATCATCAAGGGACGGGGGTTCTTCCTGTCCCTCCTCCATTAGGCCATACTTACTTTCCTCCATATGGCATGTCCGTTATGAATCCAGCCATGCCAAGATCAGGCGTCGAACAAATGCATTGGTTTGCTGGACCTGGTTCACATGGTCAAATCGATCAGTTATCAGGAGAGGGAACAAACTCTAATGTGCAGCATCAAAGCTCATGCAATATGCCATCCCAGAAAAGTGGAGCTATTCCTCATGCCATGATGTTTCAGGCATCTAACGACAGTGAGCTACAAGGAAGTACCGCAAATAGTCCAGGTGACAGAGCACGATTGGGGACGGATCAAAATGCTGAAGGAAGTGATGCTCTTCAACTCTTTCCCATGGCTCCGGTAATTCCAGAAGGAGTTGCCCAACCTCATGATTCAGGCCAGCCAACACGAGCGATTAGAGTTGTGCCGCACAATCCAAGAACTGCAACTGCATCAGCTGCTCGTATTTTCCAATCTATACAAGAAGAGAGAAAACAGCATGATTCGATCTAGTTGATTCTCTCATTGGCGTGCAAATGATATTGGTCTCATCCAAGTTGGTGTGGCCTGGTCATTTCCGCTGTACCATTTTGGTATGATATTCTGTAATGGGGTTTTCCTTATTTCTTGATCTTGTGATTGTATATTCTTCATATATGTATATCATGTATACCTCTGGAATACCCAACCAGAGCAGTGTAATCTGAATATGCGATATTTCCCCTCATGTATTGTGTTATTGGGCATAGGTAGCAACTATTTGGGTAATAGGAGTAATTGTCCATTTTTGAATATCTAATATTGTTGTCTTGAAGATCAAGCTAAAAAGTGAAAATCAAGTTCCAGAAATTATACTGTCACTTTATGTTACTTTCGATCCAAGCTTTGTTAATACTGGACAAGTGATCACCCTAATTACCAAACTCAAAATCCATCTTAATTATTCACCAAATTTAAAATAAGAAAGAAAAAAAAAACCTAATCTTTCGAAACCTCAGAATTTGAGTAGGCCAATAAAGTTAATATGGCTATTAGACCTGTTATGTTCATAGATCTCTTGTAATTTGGCTTTTACATGCTCATATATGTAGATGTCTTGTAATTTGGCTTTTATATGCTCATATATGTAGATGTATCTCTGTGAAACACAACCAGTGAGCAATGCAAGAGGATCGCAGACACAATGGGACCAAAACTATAAGTCCATTTCTGATCACATATAAATCAATAACAATAGGCTTCAAATATAAAATAGTCTTGCTACATTGGCTCAAGCCATCATATATTTGGACATTATTTCAAGAAAAAACTACGGAAATTAAGCGTCCTCATTTGAGATTATGAACAACTTAGGGACAATAAGGAGGATTTCGACCTGGCCTGCCGAAGTAAAACACAGGTTCTTGAGCAAGTGACACAGCATAGTTCAATGCAGAGTAGCAATACTCTTCATCTGTATAAGTGCCTACCCATTCTGGGTACTTCAATTGCTTTGAATAATCTAAAATCCTAACTTGCTTCACATAGCATGCATTGCCCAATTTGCCCGATGTAAAATCTCCACTTCCCATCCCTGTTGCAGTGTGTGGATGATTTTGCTTCACCTTGTAGCTAAATACTTCTCCCCATTCAACTAATGTTGCAGCACCGCGTGTCAAATAATAGAAGAGCTCTCCAGGAAAATATCCCACAGGAACGTTTTGGCCAATACGCACCCACCAATTTCCTGTGCTTGGTTCCTACAACATATGTTTTAAACCATCACATTTATGTTCAACAATGGAAATGTCTTTGTGCACCAAATTTAGGAAGGGGAGGGGGTTTTCTCACACACGCAATTGTCAATGTGTCATGGGGATTCGAACTTGAGACCATTAGTTTGCAAGTCAAAGCCCTTTTTACTGGGCTAAATCCCGTTGACTAACAATGGAAATGATTTGAATGCACGAAAAGTGATTAAGCTTTTCAAACCTTGGTGATGCTGAAGGTGGTTTGATATTGGGGTCCCATTTTAGATGATACAGGTCCAAGGACCATACCAAGGGCTATGTCTTTGTTGGTTTGCACAAATCCTGGGCAGGTGAGATCAAAGCAACCTGATGATTTGTATGAGTCCTTCTGAAAAAACCCAAAAGAAGAAGAAGAAGAAGAATTAAGTGCAAGCACATTTCAGATGGAGCAACCATAATATATGCTACATTTTCCTCTTTTTGTGATCATTTTGTAATGAAGTACTTACCGTCCAATATACGAAAAGTCGACTTGCTCCGTTACCATATACCTTTGGGTTTACCTGTCCAAAGCCAAACGAAGAGAAGAGCAAAAAAGAGTAGCAGTTCTATACACATATGTGGAGTGATTTTGAGGAACTGATAGTTGAGAAGTAATATTTTTCAAATGAAGTTACCATAATATACTACTTACCACCCAGCCTGCTTCTACACTTTCAAAAGCCTCTCCAGGTCCATTCTTAAGCCAGATTTGAGCAGTAGTGAACTCATCTGGTGATTCAACTCTTGGAGTCCAAATATTTATATCTCCTTGAGCACCTATATATTGTATCCAGTAGTTAACAAGATAGCAGCCTAGCAAACACAGTTTTGCACAAGTTAGACAAGGATCAAAGTAAACTTCGTTAATTAAATCTTCATGGTGTTTGCTTACTGAACGATTAACTTGAGGCCCGAGTTCGACTCAGGTGCTGTTGATGTACAAAGTGCCTTTGTCATCTGTGGGGGAGTAGGAAGAATGCACTGGCATTTTCTTCCCAAAGTTTTCAAGTGAAGTAGCTCTCAATAAATCTTGCTTTGGAATTCTCCAAATGGGAATGGTTGCGTCTGGACAGCTTCCACCCCTTAGCCAAAATTGAGATACCAGCTGAGAAGAATTATGATAATTTTGTACATGACTACTGGGTCTCATCTGCAATATTATACACCAACTATATCAACATTTGGAAGAAAACATGATTGTTTTTAAAACTTGGAGAATGTTTTATTTTTTGTTTCAAGTTTTTGTTTCATACATTCTCCAAATGTACAAAGGTTTAAAAGTCGACCTGAATTTTGTGGTTGCGCAATGCTGGATGATCAAAAGCAGGCTGTTTGTAGATGTCAACACAGTCAATGATATCTCCATCCTCACTCTGCGAGAAATCAAATAATCAAGTGGTAAAACTACAGTCAGTCCTCTGAGCCTACCAAGTCATAGCAGCAGCAGAACAAAGAAGAAATTGTGAAATTTAAGACAGCAGAGGCAATAGCACAAAGGGTTGAGCTAAATTTTGAAATAGAAAAGAATGAGGAAAGAAAATTATATAACAGATCTGATATAGATAAAATTATGTTAAAGTGTGATTAGTCAGAAAGCTAATAAAAATGGCAGAAAATCAGACCTTGATAGTCTTCACACCATGCTTATTCAAAAGCTTCAACTTCTTATGAACTTCCAAAGAAATTTGTTTAGTTTTAGCATTCACATGGTGTTGTTCTGCTGCACTAACACAAAAAACAAACAATCCCAATGCTAACGAGAACATTAAAGCCCTCTTATTCCCCATCTTCAATCTCTTTTTGTGTCTCACTTACACTCTTGCACACACAGAGAGATACAATCAAGCTATAGATAAAATTAACAGGATAATTAGGTAGTAAAATTAACCTTTGAGAAACCAAATGAAGGCGTGTCTGGTTGAAAAGAAAGAAGATAATGTGTTATTATATATATATGATGCAAGTCCTCGCGGCTTCATCCATATGTCAAATGTGCAGTTCATGCACGCCTCTCTTAAGTATAGAAACATAATAAGTACTCTTGTCTTGGTGCAATATTTGGACATAATTGCATGTACAGAAAACGGGTTTTATCTTTATCTAGTGAATTAAGATGTTCCCATTAGCAGCATTTTGTCCTTTTATTTAATTTAGAGAGTCAAATCTTGTGAATGTTGGACATTTGCTTGAGATCTCTGTTACCTTTCTGTCTCACTTTCTTCTAAGATATGCTATACCAATTACATACAAACACAGATTCCATGTTAGCTACCAAGAAAAAAACCTCATTTGAAAACCTGGAAATTAAGCTGATATGCCATTTTGGTAAACATTGAAAATTGGATATGTTCTCCTTTTCGGGACGAAATAGTATTATCGACTTGTGGTTTTGGTGCTTGTCTTAAACAATTCCTAGCTAAGCTAAGTTTAAGGGCACTTATAATTTCTACCAGGCCCTCCATAATAGAACTCAGGATCTTCAACATAGTCTTCAACATAGATAGCATCATAGCAGTTGAACTCGTCCATGTAAGTCTCAACCCATTCAGGGATTTTCAGTGCAGGTGAATTGTCATGTATTCTCATTCTTGTTATGACACCTGAAAATCCCGCAGTACTAGCAAAGCGTCCATTCCCCATATCTGTTTTTGTGTGGGGAGTAGTTCCTACTCTTGAGCTATAGACTTCACCTCCCCATTCAACACCTGTTGCATGATAGCTCAATGCAAAAAACAGCTCCGGCGGCCAATAACCGATGTTAATTCTCTCCCCGTATTGCACCCACCAATTGCTTGTTACTGGATCCTAAATTTGGAAGCAAATAAAAAAGAAACTCAATCTAAGATATGAGAAGAACACTTAATATTACATTGTCTTTGTTAGATATCAGATATGTTATATATATGTTGCTAAACTGTACATGTTATGTTATTGAACTGTTGAGCTGACCTTGAAGATGTAGACAATTATCTCATATGGAAGCCCATCAGGAACAGAGATTGGATAAATTGCTGCACCAAGAGCAATTTCATGGCTAGTCTGAACAAATCCAGGACAATTAAGATCAAAGCAACCAGTTTTCTTTGAACCATCAGCCTGCAGGAACATCAGAAATCACATCAAGTCTAGTGGAATTACTCACATGAAAACTAAGTCATGAAACACGTCAACTTACAGTCCAGTATACGAAAAATCGAGTATTTCTGTCCCCGTAGACGCTTGGATTTACCTAAAGAGGGATTCCGAGTAATTTTTCGGACTAAAAGTTATGCCATGAACATAGAATGTAACAGAAGTAAGTAGCATCAAGATGAAAGTGAAAGGGTTTATGTTAATATACCGCCCATCCAGATTCAACACTCTCAAAGGCAAAACTTGGACCGTTTATGAGACAAACTTGAGAAGTAGTATATTCATCATCAAGCTCAACAGAAGGAGCGCAAACTTTTATGTCTCCTTTGGCTCCAGTATATCTGTACCCTTCTGTAAGCAATATTGCCTTCTGAGGCCATCAAAAATTACCAACAACAAAAAAAAACCCTCTTCATGAGATGTATAGTAGTAATTAATTGACCAATTAAAAATGTGAAAATGGGGAGTTAATGTACCGAGTGGTTTGCTCGTAGAAGGTAGACAGATTTGTTGTCACTAGACTCTGCAACATGACCAGACAGGGTACTGTGCTTCTTTCTTCCATAGTCCTTGACTGAGCTAGCTCTAAGCAGGTCCTTTTTTCGAATTCTTCGGACTGGGATCGTTCCTTGAGGACAGCTTCCACTTTTCTGCCATGTTTGCTTCACTGTCACGGAAGATTGTTCACTCCTTTTCTTCAATCTATCCATTTTTGTCATTGTCTTTGTCTCCTTCGTCAGATCATATGTTGGTGCCATCTGAAAAAGGACTCAAAGCATTTCTCATATTATCAGTAAATATATAATGTCACAGAGAAGAAAAATGTGTTTACTTTCAACTAGAACTTATACAAGGCAGACCTGGATGGTGTGGTTTCTGAGAGCAGGATGGTCAAGAGCTGGCTGCTTGTAAATGTCAATGCAATCAATGATATCACCATCCTCACTCTACAAGCAATCATATGAGCTGATTAAATGAATACAATGAGAAGAAAACTTATGTCAAGTTCTGGGCAATTCAAACCTGAATGGTTTTAACTGCAGGCCTTCTAAGTTGGGTTAATTTTCTTTCAACTTCCAGAATCTTCTGTTTAGAGAACACATTGCCCTCCACAAGCACCCCGCATCTAATTAGAGTCACTGTCACTCCCACCATAATTACCATCATCCCCCTTAATCTAATCACTTCACCACAAGACAACCCTTTCCCCATTTGTTGTTAACTAAACTCTGTCTGATATGTACTAAATCTCAGGTAATTCAAATACCCAAAATTATAAAATGGAGATTGATCATCTTCCTTTCAGAATCTAAGATGAGCTTGGGTTATCTTCCTAAACCCATATATATTTTCTGATAACTTTATATATCTGCAAAATTTGCATGATTCACCTTCCAATCATGCAACTTTCACATTTTTATTCAATATTTGAATTGTCACATGTTAAATTCAAGATGGTATCCTGTTGAATATTTAAACAATTCCTTAGAATTGGTTAAACCTAGCTACATAAATCTTTAGCCAATAAAGAATGATTGTTAAATTTCTACAATATGGCTTGGTTCCTTCCCTCGGCTTTACTTTTTTAGTAAAAAAAATTAGGGGAAAACGCGTATAGCCGGGCGGCTATACTATTTTTAAAATAAAAAACTAAGTATAGCCGAACGGCTATCCTATTTTAAAAAAATTTAAGAAAATACCGGGTAAAGCCAACCGGCTATACTTATTTTAAAAAAATAGGGAAAAACAAGTATGGCCGCGCGGCTATACTATTTTTGACACGTGACAAGGCTCAGCGCTAGGCGGTGGTCCTTTTTTTAATTATAAATAGTATAGCTGCCCGGCTATACGAAGGTTTTTATTATAAAAACTAGTACAGCCGCACGGCTATACCATTTTGAGGGTCCTTTTTTTTTTCCTTCAAAAAATGGTATAGCCGCGCGGCTTTGAATTACAAATATATTGGGGGTAGATATATATATATATATATATAATTTGCATTCACAGCATTTTTAGAGTATAGCTAGAAAATTTTAAAAGTAGAGCCGCGCGCCTATACCCTCAATGGACTTTTAAGACTTCCACCATACCTACTTTCTCTTTGTAACCGATATTACAAATTAGCAAATTACACACGCATGTGTATGTGTTTCTTCTAGTTTGATTTATAGAACTAACACATATACATAAACATAACTCACTTATTAAAAGTCGTTTCTCTTTACTTTCAAATCGCAACTTAACACATATACATAAATCACTTATTAAAAGCATGTTAAAAAATTTACACTCATGTCAAATTGTAGTTTGCATGCTAAAAATGAACGAATCATTTTTAGCAAGGAACCAATATTTTTTCTTGATTTATTATATAATAAAAAATGAAATTCCAAGTCCTTTGTGCAAAATTGAACTTGTTAATGTACAAATAATCGACGCCTATACACCAAAAACGTCACTTCCCTCTAAATCTGAATTCAAATATTACGCAACTTTTGGATAGAACTTCGGTCAAATTGAAGATGGTAAGTAACTAACGCAAAATTTTACCAATTAATTAGGAGATTTCCACTCCATAAGGCTTTTCTTTTTTGGGACGAAAAGAATCATCCGTGTTTTTGGTGTTTATGTCCAAAACCACGTTATTTTGAGGATAAGAGTTTTGGGTTTTTATAGTTTATATTGGAAAAATAAATGAAAGTTTAAAACGACATAATTACCCATTCTAATGGGTCTTAAACAAGTCCTAGCAAAGCTAAGCTAAGCTTAAGGGCACATATAATTTCTACCAGGCCCTCCATAATAGAACTCAGGATCTTCAACATAATCTGAAAGATACCTAACATTATAACAGTTGAACTCATCCATCAAAGTAGTAACTATATCAGGGAATTTCAGCCCAGGTGAATTCTCATGTATTCGGATTCTTCTTATGGCGCCTGAAGTCCCCCAAACAGAATCAGCAAAGTGTCCACTGCCCATATCTGTTTTTGTGTGAGGAGTTGTTCCCACTCTTGAGCTATAAACTTCACCTCCCCATTCAGCACTCGTTGCATGGTAGCTCAGTGCAACAAACAGCTCCGACGGCCAATAACCAACGTTAATTCTCTCCCCATATTGCACCCACCAATTGCTTGTTACCGGATCCTATATTTGGAGACAAAAACAGAAAGAAATTCAATCGAAGATACTAGAAGAAAACCTATTATCGCGTTACGAGTAGTAATGTTGACATGTTATGTTGCTAAATTATCGGTTAGGTACGTTATGTTGTTAAATTATTGACCTGACCTTGTAGATGTAGATGATTATTTGATATGGAAGCCCATTAGGAACAGAGATTGGATAGATTGCTGCACCAAGAGCTATTTCATGGCTAGTCTGAACAAATCCAGGACAAGTAAGATCAAAGCAACCAGTTTTCTTTGAACCATCAACCTGCAGGAACATCAGAAATCATATCAAATCTAGTGGAATTACTCATATGAAAACTAATTTATGATTCATGTCAGCTTACAGTCCAGTATACGAAAAATCGAGTCTGTCTGTCCCCGTATACGCTGGGATTTACCTGAAGGGAGCATTTTTTCAGACCAAAAAGTAATGCCATGAACATAAAATGTAACAGAAGTAAGTAGCTTCAAGATGAAAGTGAAAGGGTTTATTAATTTTAATATATATACCGCCCATCCAGATTCAACACTCTCAAAGTCATAATAAGCACCATTTATGAGACAAACTTGAGAAGTACTATATTCATCATCAAGCTCAACAGCAGGGTTATAAACTTTGATGTCTCCTTTGGCTCCATTATATCTATACCCATCTGTAAACAATATTGCCTTCTGAGGCCATCACAAATTACACAAACACAAAAACCAATAAACAAAAGAACCCCTCTCCATTAGATGTATAGTTGTAGTTAATTTACCAATTAATTAAAAAATGTGTGTGTGGGGAATTGATTTACCGAGTGGTTTGCTCGTTGAAGGTTCACAGTTTTGTTGTCACTAAACTCTGAAACATGACGAGACAGGGTAGAACTGTGCTTCTTTCTTCCATGGTCCTTAACCGAGCTGGCTCTCAGAAGTTCCTTTTTCCGGATTCTTCGGACCGGGATTGTTCCCTGAGGACAGCTTCCACTTTTCTGCCATGTTTGCTTCACTGTAGTGGGAGATTGTTCTTCATTCCTCTTCTTCCATCTGTCCATTTTTCCCATTGTCTTTGTCTCCCTTGTTGCATCATATGTAGGTGCCATCTAAAAAAAGACTCAAACCACTTGTTATATGGTAGTAAAAAGATTGAAGTTGCAGAGTAAATCTTTTCCTTTTTTTTACTTTCAACTAGAACAACAGAAAGGCAGACCTGGATGGTGTGGTTTCTAAGAGCAGGATGACCAAAAGCTGGCTGCTTGTAAATGTCAATGCAATCAATGATATCACCATCCTCACTCTACAAACAATCATTTGAGCTGAGAATGAATACAACATATGAAGTATATAATAAGAAAAGAACTCATGTGTGGAGGGCTCATTCTGGACAATTCAAACCTGAATGGTTTTAACTGCAGGTCTTCTAAGTTGGGTTAATTTTCTTTCAACTTCCAAAATCTTCTGTTTAGAGAACAAATCACCCTCCACAAGCACCCCACATCTAATTAGAGTCACTGTCACTCCCAACATAATTACCATCATCTTCATCCCCCTTAATCTAATCACTTCACCACAACACAACCCTTTCCCCATTTGTTTGATTATATACTAAATCTCAGGTAATTTAAATACCCAAAATCATAAAATGGAAACTGTTTATCTTGCTTTCAGAATCTAAGATGAGCTTAGGTTATTTAAGGACAATGCCACCCACAACAATGTGCACCATATATATCTTCTGCAAACTACATATATCTGCAAAATTTGCATGATTCACCTTCCAAATCATGCAAATTTCACATTTTTATTCTATATTTGAATTGCCAAGTGTTAAATTCAAGATGGTAGCTGTTGAATATTTGGACAAGTGTGTCCTTAACCTTGGTTAAACCCAGCTACATAAATCGTTAGCCAATGAAGAACTGATTGTTAAATTTCTACAGTATGGCTTGGTTTCCTTCCCTCCAGTGACCTTACTTCAAAATTTCAAATGTACTGATTTCATCATATCTCTACTATATAACTTAATCTATCTATGTTATTAGGTGATAATGCTATGTGTCAATCATAGAATTAAATGAGTCAACCTAACACGTGTAGATCATGTCAAATTGTAATTTGCATGTAAGGAGGAATGACTCATTTTAAGAAATGAGACAAACATTTTTCTCGATTATTATATATAAAAAAATGAAATTCCAAGTCGTTTGTGCAAAGTTGAACATGTTATGTTAGTGTAACACATAATCGATGCCTATACACCAAAAACGTCACTTCCCTCTAAATCTGAATTCAAATATTGCGCAACCTCTGGATAGAAATGAAAATTAATATGCCTAATTTTACCAATTTATTAGGAGATTTCCACTCTCTAAGGCTTTTCCTTTTTGGGACGAAATAGAATTATCTACTTGTGTTTTTAGTGCTTGTATCGTGTTTATGTCTAAAACTACATCATTTTGAGAATAAGACCTTTGGGGTTTACAGAGTTTGATATTGAAAAAATAACTGATGAAAGTTTAAAACAACATAATTACCCATTCTAATGGGGTCTCAAACAGTCCTAGCAAAGCTAACATAAGCTTAAGGGCACATATAATTTCTACCAGGCCCTCCATAATAGAACTCAGGATCTTCAACATAATCCGAAAGATACTTGACATCATAACAGTTGAACTCATCCATCAAAGTATTAACTATATCAGGGAATTTCAGCCCAGGTGAATTCTCATGTACTCGAATTCTTTTTATGACGCCTGAAGTCCCCCAAACTGATGACTCAGCAAAGTGTCCACTGCCCATATCTGTTCTTGTGTGAGGCGTAGTTCCCACTCTTGAGCTATAAACTTCACCTCCCCATTCAACACTTGTTGCATGGTAGCTCAATAAAACAAACAGCTCCGGCGGCCAGTAACCGATGTTAATTCTCTCCCCATATTGCACCCACCAGTTGCTTGTTACTGGATCCTAAATTTGGAGGCAAAACAAAAAGGAAATTCAATTGAAGATTATTTAGTATTACGAATAATGTGAGACATGTTATGTTGCTAAACTGTTCATCAAGTGCGTTATGTTGTTAAACTGTTGACCTGACCTTGTAGATGTAGACGATTATTTGATATGGAAGCCCATGAGGAACAGAGATTGGATGGATTGCTGCACCAAGAGCAATTTCATGGCTAGTCTGAACAAATCCAGGACAAGTGAGATCAAAGCAACCAGTTTTCTGTGAGCCATCAACCTGCAGAAACATCAGAAATCACATCAAATCTAGTGGAATTACTCACATGAATGTTAAGTCCTTATTCATGTCTGCTTACAGTCCAATACACGAAAAATCGAGTCTGTCTGTCCCCGTATACGCTGGGATTTACCTGAAGAGGGATTAGAATAATTTTTCAGACTAAAAAGTTATGTCATGAACATAAAATATGACAGAAGAAGTAAGTAGCTTCAAGATGAAAGTGAAAAGGTTTATTATGTTAATATATATATACCGCCCATCCGGATTCAACACTCTCAAAGTCATAATAAGCACCATTTATGAGAGAAACTTGAGAAGTGCTATATTCATCATCAAGCTCGACAGCAGGGTTATAAACTTTGATGTCTCCTTTGGCTCCATTATATCTGTACCCTTCTGTAAACAATATTGCCTTCTGATGCCATTACAAATTACACACACACGCACAAAAAAACCCTCACCATTAGATGCATGTACAGTTGTAGTTAATTTACCAATTGGTTAAAAATGTGTGTGGCGAATTGATGTACCGAGTGGTTTGCACGTTGAAGGTACACAGTTTTGTTGTTACTTAACTGTGAAACATGACGAGACAAGGTAGAACTGTGCTTCTTTCTTCCATAGTCCTTAACGGAGCTGGCTCTCAGAAGCTCCTTTTTATGGATTCTTCGGACCGGGATTGTTCCCTGAGGACAGCTTCCACTTTTGTGCCATGTTTGCTTCACTGTAATGGGAGATTGTTCTTCATTCCTCTTCTTCCATCTGTCCATTTTTTTCATTGTCTTTGTCTCCTTGGTTGTGTCATATGTTGGTGCCATCTGAAAAAAAGACTCAAAGCAGTTGTTATATGGTAGTAAAAAGATTAAAGTTGCAGAGTAAATCTTTGTCTACTTTCAACTTGAACAACAGAAGGCAGACCTGGATGGTGTGGTTTCTGAGAGCAGGATGATCAAAAGCTGGCTGCTTGTAGATGTCAATGCAATCAATGATATCACCATCTTCACTCTACAAGCAATCATAGAGATTAATATGGACTGAGTAAATGAATACAATGAAGAAAACTTATGTGAAGGGCTCAAGTTTTGGACAATTCTTACCTGAATGGTTTTAACTGCAGGCCTTCTAAGTTGGTTTAATTGTCTTTCAGTTTCCAAAATCTTCTGTTTAGAGAACAAATTACCCTCCACAAGCACCCCACATCTAATAAGAGTCACAGTTACTCCCAACATAATTACCATTATGCCCCTTATTCCAATCCCTTCACCACAAAACAACCCCTTTCCCCCCATTTGTTGTTAACTAATCACAAAGACCCAAAATCATGAATTGGAAATTGATTATCTTTCTTTCAGTTTATGAGATGGGCTAAGATCCTAACACTAGTTGAATCTCTTTAAGGACAATGCCTCCATAATATGTAGCACATGATTCTGATTACATATCTGCAAACTTTGCATGGTTCACCTTCCAATCATGCCAATTTCGTTTTGTTTTTTGGTCCAATATTTGAACTTCTGCGTGTAAAATGGAAAATGGTATGAGGACTAACCATTATGACATGTCCTCACAAATTAGAATGGCAAAATGATTGTTAAATTCCTACAATATTGCTTTGGTTCCTTCACTTCAATGGCCTTCAAAATTTCAAATGAAGTACTATTATCATAAATCTAAAAACTATTATAAAAAAAGACGGATACACTACTTTGACTAACTGACTTAAATCACATTTGCTACTTAAAGACTTTCATCATATCAAACTTCTCTTTGTAACAGGTATCACAAGTAACCTGTATCATGTATATAATTCATATAATATAATTTTTTTTTAATACAAGCGATACAAAAGATGATTTGATTTTATGGTAAATTGTCTTTAACTTGAGCTAAAAATCCCCGTGTTAGGAGAAAAAAATGAAATTCCGCACAACGACGCCGTGTAACTGATCGCGTCGATTCGTCGCCCAAGCCCCCCTTATTTATTTCTCATCCTGCCGCTCTCTACACACAGTGAGACAAAGACGCGGTGTGTATTTCGAGATTGACGCCAAATCGAAAATGGTGAAATTTTTACTTCAGATCGCTGCGGACCTCGAGAACCTGACGAACCTTCAGCCCCAGGAAGGCTGCAACGACCCCAACTTTTCCTATCTCTTCAAGGTCACCTTCATTTCCTTTCGTCAAGTTTTTTGCTCCAAAAATGCAGTCGATTTTGTCATTATAGTTTGTGTTCGTGTTCAGATTTCTAGGGTTTATAGCTTAAAATTGATGTCGATGTTCGTCGCTTAGTCTCCCGAGCTTGATATAGTCATTATTAACATGATTCTATTCTTTTTGTGATTTTGCAGTTGAAATGTGAGAGGTGTGGAGAGCTGAGCCAGAGGGAAACTTGTGTGAGCTTGAACGAGACTGTTCCTCTTCCGTCGGGCAAGGCAACCGTTAATCTTGTTCAGAAGGTAACCATTCTCTCTCTCTCTCTCTCTCTCTCTCTCTCTCTCTCTCTCTCTCTCTCTACTAATTGCTCAATGGGCTTTGGAATTTAAGAGCTTATTGAAGTATATTTAGTTTCTGAGGAAATAGAAGGAAAGGAACAGAAGAGTTATGGTAGTTTGTGTTTTCTGTAGTATGCTTGTTTGGTTGAGTAAATGCTTTGTTTGTTTGGGTGCCTAATTGTAGCGACAACTTTGAGATTTTATCGGGATTTCATTTCTCTTCTCTTGGTTAAAGTTTACATATGTGGGTTCCAACACATTTCTCTGTGCAGTTTCTATTTGATGACATATGAGTCAACTACGTTGACATAAGTTATTACTATTGCATATCTTCAATTCATGGATATGGGGGTTGTTCCCTTTATGTTTTATCTTTGAACGAATATTTTCTGGTTAAGTTTGCTGTATATGTGTGGTGATTTGCATCTCCCCTTGTAGTGCAAGTTTTGTGGAAGGGATGGAACTCTGACAATGATGCCAGGTCATGGTAAACCACTGACCCAGCAAATGTGTGAAGAAAGGAAGTTTTCCCCCTTGATGATGTTTGAGTGCAGGGGTTATGAGCCTGTGGACTATGTATTTGCTGGTGGGTGGAAGGTTGAATCTGTAAGTTTCTCTTCTTCACACATCAACTTCCAATTATGTAGTACATTGTATAAAACTTTCTTATTGTACTTATGGATGGAAAATGACTTTTGCTGGGACCATTGAGCTGAATGATCTTATAAATAGTAATCGTGTGAGCATTCCTAAGCACTAAATCTCAGGAACTCCTATGAACTTCAGTGCATATGTATAAATTCTTTTATTCTTCTCTTCTTAACTCTCCTTGTTTGTACTTATAGTACATTAAGCATTAAGGATTGCATATCCTATTCCATAATGTGGGAGCGCCTTTCAAAGCTTATTTTGGTATTTTGTCCTTTTGAGTTCTGATCCTTTCTTTTTGGGGTGAGAAAGCTCAGGTCTCTGTCCTTTAGCATAAAGGTCTTAAGGTTAGTACATCTGATGAGCATATCATATTCAAGAGGTGGGAACTGCAGAAAATAGTGATATTTTATTTTTCTGACGTAAGGGCATCCCACAAACAGTATAATTGTCTTGTACACTAGATTTACTATGGAAGCCTACCATGCGGATTGGACCAGAGATGGTGTCAACAAATGTCAACTCATTTTTACTGTTCTGCTTGGCCAGGAGGAGTGTCATGCCCGCCTATCGCCATTCCCCACCCCAAGGAGAATAAAAGTGAAAATTAGATTGATAATGAAATTTAGAAATAGAAACAAGGAGTGAAAAACGAATTACTAGAGGCCCCAGTCAATTGAATTTTTGCATTTGAATTGTTGTTGAATTTTTGAAAATAGAAGAATAGTTCGATTTTTGAAGTTCTAGTTTTCATTTTCGGAAGTTCTACTTATTTATGTACTGCAATCGACTCTGCTGGATGCATCTTTATTTCAACTTAAACTAGTGTTCATTCTTGTAGGTGGAAGGGACAAAATTTGACCATGTTGACTTGTCAGGAGGGGACTTTGTTGAATATGATGAGAAGGGAGAGTACCCAGTTATGGTTTCCAACCTCCGTGCCACTTTTGTGGTGAAGTAGAGTGGTATATGCTACAAGAAATATGCCATGGTATATAGAATTTGGCATGTGAAGCTAACTGTTCCTTTGTGTATAAGATAGACACATCTACATCTTGGCTGTTTCATGTGCTGTGACTGTGAGCAGAAAACGCTCTGTAGCATCTTAGTATTAGTCTTCAACTTTGGCGTTTTCATAGACAGTAGATATACTGGCAAACTACAGAGCTAATGTTGTGACATTGTTCAGTTTTCACGGATCTCATTGTTGATACGACGTGTTATTATATCACACGTTCAAAATGAATGCATGGACGGTTTTCTTTGCAAATCATGGTTACGTCATGAATCGTTTTGCAGGATCACCATTCACAGCAGCAAAGGCTTTATGATTCTACTCTCTCGAGTTAAAACTGCTTGTTTGTTTTTTAGTGTGGTTGATTCTACCAACCAATCAATTTTATTTTTAACAAAGTTTAGATCGGGATCGGGAACCCCATGTATATGAACCATTTTGGATCCTCAGCTGTCCCTGTGTCCTTATTGCTGGGGGAATCTTAGATGCGGTTGTAGGTGGGTCTAGATTCTACATATGGAGAGAATCTTAGCTATCTCCGATTTTGTATTCCCTTGTCAACAACACTCATTACCTAACATGACGATTGTTGTAAACAGATAGAATAGAAATATACAACCAATTACGTAATGTAAAGTGTTGTAGACAGAAGGGGATATACAACTGGTTACTAGGCAGATTTGATCCTCCATATGGCTCCTACCTTTAGACTTTCTTTAGCTTTCCTCATGGCTTTCTTTGGTTTGGTGACCTACCTTTAGACTTTCTTTAGCTTTCCTCATGGCTTTCTTTGGTTTGGTGAAAGAACTGAAATCCCACCTAATTAGAGGCCAAGACTTGCGGTCTGCCCAACTACACCACGTCGTGTTTATTACATTGTTTAATACAATTGGGTTCTCCACCACAATAAGACTTTAAGCTTCAACAATCAATCAAAGCCTCATTAACTTGTTTAAACTAAACCCAATCTCTAACCAATAATTACATTTACATCTGTACTTCGGCTTCTGTACTCTTATCCTTTTATCTGTTCATTTATGTGGCTATGAGGTTGAAAAATAGTTGATTTTCTTGCTTTGATGCTAATTATGCTCCAATAGGGTGAAACGTGTTCCAATAGGGTGTTTGCAATTAATAATAAAAAATAAAGTTTCTAGTGTTATTTGCCCATCTTAAAATCTAAGTATATTGCCAACAGGATCTAGTGTGTGGAAAAGAGCTTTAACTTGCAGACTAGTCTCAAGTTTGAATTCTCACAGCATCATAGTTGTGTGTGTAAGAGAAATTCTCTCCCATTTAGTTTAGAGACTATCACTTGTACTAAAAAAAGAAAAAGAAAAATCAAAGCTAGTAGCATCCCATCCCGAGGTCCATTTTTATCTTTTCAGTAACTAATGAATTTACCCAAAAATACACACACGCAACAGATAAGGCAAGTTCGTTTTTCCTCCAAGCTATGAAACTGGATGGGTGTTTCTATATCACACTCCCAATTTAGCCGACAAGCTCGATCCCCCTCTCCCTCCTCACTCGCACCGCGCCGTGTGAGAGACATTCTTAAAACTTGAGATTCTACAGATCATCACACAGTCGTCGTCTTCCTCAAAATTCTCTCATCTCACACACAACGCGCACACTCAGTTGGTCAAGAAATCTCCCCAAGTTTTTCAAACTCTCATTATTATTGGTCACGGCAACTTTTTGTTTCTGCCGCCAAAGTCTCCTCTGCGTGACCTCCTTCTTCTGTTCTCTTGTTCTTCATCCAATTGACCACTTCCTATATTCTTGGGCGCAATTCAAGCAGTCAAATACAAGGATCTAAATCCTTCATTCGTCTTCATCAATTTAGCTTTCAACCTCAAAAGTCACATGGTATGTCATACTTTTTTCTCTGGTGAAAGAGAAGTTCGATCCATATATGTATGATCTTAGCTTAGATCCTTGATATAAGCTCGGTTTATTAAGAACCCATTTGCTAAAGTTAAGATTTTTTACGCAATATGTGTTCAGTACTGTAGTATTAGTGTCAGATCTGTCCAGAGTGTGTTTTTATTTGGTGGGGTTGTAGTTTTGAAGAAAACTGAGTGATTCAGATTCCAATATGATTAAATTCGTGTTCACTTCACCGTTTGGACTCTGGGTTTTCTTGTTTGAGAGAAGTCAATAGGTGTCCAAAATTTTGAGACTTGGAGGTACTCTGTAGTAATCAGAAGAGCTAGAAATTGATTTTGGTGCAGTGATTTAATCAAGATGCAAACCATGCAATCAAGGGTTGTGCCATTAGAGGAAGGCAAGGACCCCGGAGTTACTAGCAGGACAAACCAAACCAAGGCATTGCCGATAAGGCTACTTCAGTTATTTGTGCTGTTTCTGCTTTTCTGTATTACTTTCTCAGTCATTAGCATATTCACGATTCGTCATTTTGGAATTAACGGGGTGATGACAACGGCCACGTCCTCTTTCCAGCCATGCTATGAGGAACCGAGTGGTTTGGACCGGTGGATTAAGCCGCCATCAAATCTTCAACACACTATGACTGAGAAGGAATTATTGTGGAGGGCATCTCTTATGCCTAGAATAAAGAAGTATCCTTTTGAGAGAGTTCCAAAGATTGCATTTATGTTCTTGACCAGGGGGCCGTTGCCTCTGGCACCCCTTTGGGAGAGGTTTCTGAAGGGACATGAAGGATATTATTCGATCTACGTTCATTCACTGCCGTCATTTCAACCTCATTTTCACTCTTCGTCCGTTTTTTATGGGAGACACATTCCTAGCCAGGTATGGATATTTTATCCTTTTATGAGATTGCATGTTCTACTAAGCATCCTTCAGCAAGTACAAAAAAAAAAAATCTTTTTTATTTTGTGGTAAATTCTTAGATATCTATTTCTCCATCACTGGTTTATCTGGTTTTTACTTTCTGCACATCTTGATTTTCTATATTTGCTCTGTGGTGGTGAGCACACACCCTGGTCTCTTGCATTTAAAAATGTCAGGTTATGTATGTGAAGCTTAAGACATGATGAAATCCGGAATTCATCTTTCCAAGAGTTGGTAATTTTTGGTGATCATCAAAGAAAGGGTTAAAACTACCTTTCCGTGTGTTGGTAGAAAGGAACAGTTCAGTTTTATCATGTTTGGGATGTGTATGGAGAATTACAGTGATGTAGGATATATAGACCATCTCTTGGGGAGGGCAGGTCGCCCTATTTGTTCCATGGACTCTTGTGTCAAGTGCAAACGCAACTAAGTGAATGGATTTGACTCTTTATTCCATGAATTTGACAATCCTGCATGTGAAACTCCACTTGGTCCACTCCACCAGCTGCTAACTTTTGGATCTTGAGACTATTACAACACCTGTGTTTATAAACATGAAAAAAGCAGATGCATAAATGCATTCATACATGATGAACAGCTGATGTAAAGGCATTGACTGCTTGGGTGGCACTCTGGACCTCTTCACATAGTCCTGATGTTTTTTTATTTATCTACGTTCTTGATTCCTGACTTGTTCTCGTGCCACAATCAGTACTGTCATGATATCTGCTTTCAGGTTATGAGGAAGAAATTAATTATTTATGTGAATGATGCTTTGTGATAGAGTTCAAGCTTGTATAGAAGCATACCAAGTATTTATTTCAGATTCATGAACATATTCCATAAAATCTCTGCTTGTTTTACTTTTTAACCTGGGTGTTTTGAACAGAGGAGAAACTCATGATCCGCAGTTAGTAGCTTCAAATATAGAGAGTATCCAGGGAAAATTATATTGTTGTTGCTTTGTAGCTTGAGGGTAACTTGTGTTGTCTAATTTCGTTGAGGTCATCTTGGTTGCTGTTGTAGAAATTTTTGCTGTTCAGATCTGGAGATCTGGATAGATATTATGCAATATCTCTTACATATCTGCTAAGAGTTCTGGTTTTCTGCTGTGCAGGTTTCTGAGTGGGGAAGAATGAGTATGTGTGATGCTGAGAGAAGGCTCCTTGCTAATGCATTGCTTGACATATCCAATGAACGGTTCATTCTTGTTTCCGAATCTTGCATTCCGCTCTATAACTTCAGTGTCATTTACCACTACTTAATGAAATCCAAGTACAGCTTCATCGGTGCATTTGATGACCCTGGGCCATTCGGGAGAGGACGCTATAATAATAACATGGCACCTGAAGTGAATATAACCCAGTGGCGCAAGGGCTCCCAATGGTTTGAAGTTAACCGGAAGCTTGCCATCAGCATTGTCGAAGATACAACATTTTACCCAAAATTTGAAATGTTCTGTAGACCCGCATGTTACGTTGATGAGCACTATTTCCCCACCATGCTAACCATTCAAGCAGGGAATTCCTTAGCAAACAGAAGCATCACTTGGGTGGATTGGTCAAGGGGTGGACCTCACCCAGCTACCTTTGGAAGAGCTGATATCACTGAGGAATTCTTCAAGAGAATGCTCGAGGGTCATCGCTGCACTTACAACGACCGGAACTCTTCAATCTGCTTTCTTTTTGGAAGAAAATTTGCTCCAAGTGCTATGGAACCTCTTCTGCATTTAGCACCAAAGTTTTTGGGCTTCTAACACATAAACCCTCAGTCAAATCAAACTTCTTGAGCCGAAGAGCATGCAAAATTCCCTGTTTGTGGTGTGTATTATTTGTCATCATAGAATTCAACCTCAGATGTAATATTATTATTAGTTGAGGTTCACTTGATAGCTCTTTGGCCAAACCCCCCTGTCCACAACAGTATCAGATGTATAGAGAAGTAGCACACCTTATTTAGCACTGCATCAAATTCACATTTTTGTATTCAGAAATCGACATTAGAATAAAATATTTTATATTTGAATATCATTTCTCCGACTCTAGGTTAACAGTTACTCGTAGTCGCGCTCATATATTAACAGTATTGTGGAACTTACGTGCGTCAACGGTTCTATAGCTTGGTCCTCTATGGTTTACATGCCCATTTATGCTTCGTACCACTTGTGTGAGGGCGTCTTTAATAGTTGTTCGATCAATAAAAGTAGATTGTTGCTAAACGAACTCTAAAATTAACTGAGTACACCCTATGATCTAAGTACACCCTATTTAACTACTAAAAATACTCCTAATACACCATTATAAAAACTTAAAACAGCTTTGTTTGTATATATATACTCAAATGGTGCAGAATGACGGAGTCCTGAAGATGAGGAAACTGAAAAAACTTGTTCTAAAGGCTATTGAAGAATCACAGGGTTTGCCTATGCAATGTTTATTTAGTACCTTCAATTAAATGTTATCTATTGATCTTGGCTCCACTTTTACATAATTATTTTTAATCATATTACTTGTTTGGTGCCAGATCAATTCAAGCTCCAGATTTAGAGTTGAGAACAAGCATAAGCATGTTCATTTGGTGGTCAAGGATTAAAATACAGTGTGAAGTGGAGTAACTGGGAATCATAGTATAGTGTCGCCTTTAAATTTGCAGCGTTGCCGGCCTTGGTTGGCTGGCTGGAACCTCATTCAAATTCAGAAACAAATGCAGATGGTTGCCTGGAACCTTTTTTTTGTATGCGGATTTACAAGTCTAGGACTCATATTTTTTTCTTCTGTTTGAAAAGTTTTCAGAAGAAATATCATCATTGTCATTAATTCTGCAATTCTATATGGATCCGACAGACATTGTGATGGTAATTCTTAACTTACCCATCTCTGGACACATTTGTTAATCCTGCTTGGCTTTATGGTTGGTCCCTCCCTAATTATTCTTTTTTTATTATTATTGAGGTTAACAAACAAACCCAAAAGAGAAAGAAAAAAAAGAAAAAAAAAAAGTCCAATTTAGTTGAATATGGTGTATTCTTAAAATTACATTTGTTTCACAATTCAATATATCCTTTTTGATCATTTTATATTAGAGTAAATTAGTGATTCAAAATTACATTTGTTTCACAATTCAATATATCCTTTTTGATCATTTTATATTAGAGTAAATTAGTGATTCAATAAATAGTTTGGTAGTAGAGTGTACTCAGTTAATTTGAGGATTCGTTTAGCAGCACTCTAAAAGTATTATTATTAGACAGTTGAATTGAAATCTCGACGACAAAAGCCGACCCGGATTATAGGAGCTCCCGTAACACTCGGCCTCTTTATTTGGATTTGACGAGGAAAGAATATGTTGGGCCCACATCAAACCCATTAGCCAGTGGGCACGGCATGGAATATGGAACAAAATGTTGAAAAGCCCTGGAACACATTAATGGACTTCAAAACCGCTCAGCGCCACATTCCTTTGGTTTTCTTAAGCAAATAATCATAGGCATCCTCATAATGAACGTGAATATAAAATTGACACGCACCCAATCACTCTTAAGGGCATTACGGTAACTTCACCAGCACGCATGTGCGCCCCTCAACTCCAAAACGCAAAATGCCGAGCGAATGTTCTGGAAATCCCGCGAAATAAAAATATCAGAAGCAACAGAACCAAATCCCACCCTACACCTGTCGTATCTTTTTCCTTGCAATTGAAAAACCTGTCTTTTTCGAAATCCCACGTGTCGATCGCCCGTTGGCCATCGAGTCGCTCACCAGAAAGTCACGCATCCTCGCTGTGTTTTCTGCGCTGTAATCTCCCTGATTGCGCATTGTGGGCCATTTTTTAAGTTTAAAAATAAATTAAAAACTAAATTTTTTTACCGCGAAACCGTTATAACCTCTTCCATTCCCACGTGTTCATCTGGACCGTTCATCTTGTGATGTGACTCAATTGACGCCGTACGGACAGAATCTGATCCGCGCGTCGCAAGCTAAAAGATTCTTGCGAATATGTTCTCCACTGAGTCGACTCGGCCCCGAAGCGAAAACCCCTTTCGTTAAGGAATGTGAGCACGCGGCGTCGTTTCAGACGAAGGTAAAATCGCGTGTGAAACGACTCCGCGTAGACGCTGGTTTCTAGTGGGGCCCACAGAGAAAAATTTACCAGACCAGCGGTGTGAGCTGTCGCGCCAAACCAATCACAAGTAGCCAGCCTGTAGAACCGGGCAGCTGCCCAGGCTGCCCGCCCCAGCCCAAAATCCCCGCTATAAATACGTTCCTCAAGCCTACTTCATTCCACCTCTGATATTTGTGCTTCAATCTCTCTGCGTCTTCCCAAAACCCTAGATTCCGAAGCACAAACAACACTCACACCAATCAACAATGGCAGTCTCAAAGGCAACTTCACTCGTGGCTCTCATGGCGGTCTTCGTCACCGTCCTCTCTGCCATAGGTGCCGCTCAGGCCGCCGAATCTCCAGCTCCGAGCCCAACCTCCGCATCCGCCTCCATATCCCCGTCGTTCATCTCTGCTTTCGCCGCCGCCTTCGCCGCTATCGTCTTCGGATCTGCGCTCAGGGTTTGAGTCTTCGCTTACTACTGCAACTATGGTTGGGGCTGTGTATTGAGCGGTTGGGTTTCTGATTTGGTTTTTTATTAGTAGTGTTTGTCATTTTAGTAGCTGGTGATTATGGATCTATAGGATTTTCAGCGTCACGTGGGTTTTTGTGATGCATAGACTACATATATAATGCACTTGGTTTATTACTATGGGTTTTGTATTTGTGGATTTCGATTATTATCATTATTATGAGTAAATAATTCATTGATTTTATTTCGTTCATCTTCCTCCTCCTCCTGTGTTTGATGCTTGAGTTACTTTCAGAATGTTGTTTGTTTAGCTTGTGATATCAAAATTAACTAATATCCAAATTGTTATTTCATTTTCATTCACTGCAAATAAAAAGCGGCAAATGACAATTCCAGATCTCAATTATTTTATTTTCACTTTCCTTAAAAATAATGTTCCAAAAAACCGGCGTATCCAAGTCGGTGTTAATTATTTATTTATTCTAACAGAATAAAGCTGTATTTCCAACTGCAACACTTAATGAGTTTATAATTTGATAAGCTCTGGGTCAGACTTGGAAAAAATCACTAATTTCAATGGTCAGTGTTTATTGACAAATATCCCCAGTGGGTAAGGGTATATTTAGGGCCTATCGGGGTTATTATCCATACTATTTTTTGGGTGCTAATTAAAATTGAAAAATCTTCGTCTTGTCTTCAAGACCTGCAGGTAACGTTAGAATTGCCTTTGAGGACCAGCTGGATGGTGGGTGGTGGATCTGTCTCCACAAACTCACACAGAACAGATGTCGTTCTTAAAATGTGTTTATGGTTCTTCGTGGCATAATTAAGGGGATTAATTAAAGTCTTGACGTTAATGATGGTGAATTATGAATGTTAATTTGAATTAGGAATGTTTTCTCCTCTTCCAATAGTTTAATTCAGCTGGGTTTGGTTTGGTGGCCCGATATGATAAGTCATGGGTTTTCATTGAAATTGTCAATGACGTTAAGAAATTAAATTACCGCGTTAAGTGTTCCGTGTCACATCAAAATACCAATTAGGGAGGCCACATAATGTAAAGTGGCATCCACAAATCATGCGACTAAACAATGATATTATTTTATCATTATAAATTGGACGTGGCCCTCCAATTTGCTAATGGGTAACTTTAGGGAGTTGGGGTTTTGGTTTTTCTCCTGTCTTAGCTAAATTTTTATATGTATCTTTAACAGCTTTGCAAATTCATATATTGTGGTTTTACGTTACGTGTGTCAGCTAAAGGGAGTTATGGTTTGTTTTTTTCTTCCTTTTTGAAAGTAACTTTCAAACTAGTCTCAAATCTCGTCTCAAGAGTCAATTTTGTGATTTTCTTCACATCTTGAGAGCGATCGAGTCTCGAGTTTCTTTCACTCGGATGGTGAAGTCTGAAATTGATTTTGCCCATGAGTGATGAGCAGCACCTCCACCGTAAGTCATTGATTTATGTGAGATTGAGACCCGTATATAAATATATGAACAATCATAAGTCAGTCACGTGCGCTTGGACGACCATCCAACACCGTTAATTTCCTTTTCTTACATGACATAAGAAAATGTGTTGTAGGTTGAAAAGAAAATAAAAAATTGTTGGATTGTATATCATTTCATGACTAACCACTGGAATTACATCCCTGAAGCCTATTTTAATTATTTTCCACAATTAGGGTTCGAAGGAGAGAAATTTCATTTGTTCGTGTGCTTGGAAGTGATGATTTGTTTTTTTTTCTTTCTTGTTATGATTAAACAAACTTAGTAGGAAAATGAGAAACAAGACTCTGTATACAGGACCGGAAATGAATCCATTCATTATTCTGATGGTTGAAAGGTGAAGATTTTACAAAGGTTCTAACATTTTTCTCATACCTTCAAAAAAAGAAGGGGAAAAAAAAAACGAAAATGCTATATTAGTCTTTTCACTAAAAGTCCTTTCTATTCAGAGTCAGACTCCACGTTGCCCATCGCCTTTAGCCCTCTTGGTCTCTGCAGCATCATACAAAAATGCATAAAAATATCAATATTAAAGGCAAATTAAGGAAATTTGATTTAGGCCCTGAATTGAAGAAAATTACTCAATAAAATACCTTCTTGGAAATCTTCTTCTCTCTGACCTCGTACCGTTCTAGGGTCAGATCACAGAGCCATGCTCCTGGGCTTACCAGCTATAAAACAAAATTACAGAAAATAAAAAACTAATTAGAACAATGATCTTCCAGCTAATTAAAAGGCAGAGGCCAAAACAAGCAAAAACAGACTGGCAAAAGGGAACCCTTTTGCTTCAGGTAATGGGCAAAAAGCTGGATAGGCTTTTTGACAAGCACTTTGATGAGTTTGCTATGTTTGGAACTTAAAAAACGAAAACGGTGCGTTGTGCGTTGTGCGTTGTGCTTTCATGCTTTTGTGCTCAGCAGTTGACAGTGCGGTCCAACCCGGAAAACAGTTAGCATAATTAAGAGCTAGTGAAAATACCTATATGCCCTCACCACTTAGTATATTATTTCCAAAAGAACCAAGAAAATAAAAACCAACGGTTACAGGCCCAGGGTCCGTTTGGACCCATTATGCCCTTTTTTTTGTCGGTTAGTAAAGAATTAAGGCCCACTTGCTTTAAACGTCCACTGATGCCCACTAAATCACATGCGGCCACATGAGACTCCATGCACCGTCCATCACCATAATAACCAACCCAAAAGCAACAACCATGTATTGCCACGTGTAACATCAGTTTTCCACTAAACAAGGCGACCCTAAATAAAATACTTCATTGTCGTATTATTACGAATAATTTAGAACTTAATCTTAACCCAAACCATCGTCCTATTAATATTATTCCAGTCGGACAGCAAACAAACTTTTAGGCATATTAGGTATATGCATAGATGGCTTGGCGGACACGTGTATCCCTTGCTCTTGCTGTCACTTTAGCAATCTTATTTGGCTTCTTTTAACCCAAATTAAACAAATACCAGAAATTTCTATTTATTTCCACCCTACCACCTGCTTTACCCACATTTTTTTTTAATTTTTTTAATTTAATTTTTTTGCTTTTCCTTCCAAGCATTCTACCCTTTCTAAGCTAGTCCACATTTTGTCACTACAACAACAATTTGCATAAATACAAGGTCAAACAACTATATAAATATAATCAAATCAAACTGGGTTTTGTTTTGTTTTGTTTTTGCAAGGCAATGGTGTTATTTTAAAAAATAGAGAAAGAAAAAAAAAACTACTTAATTTTAATTAATACTAATTAATAAGTAAAGTATCTAAAAAAGGAAAATAGAGGAGCTTACATTGAGGGTGCGTTGAATGAACTTTGCTCTTTTCTTGGGTCTCTGAGGCAATTTTGACCCTTTGATTGCCATGAAGTCCTCTTCTTTCTCTTTGTTGGTCAAAGCAATCACGAACTTCGGCGGCCAGATCATCGGTGGCGCCAACGCTGCTTCGCCGCTTCCCGATGAAGACCCACCTCCCCCCTTCTTACTATCGTGCGCCGTGTCCGAAGAAGCTGCAGACTTGGTGTTGTTATTCTCATTATTATGGTGGTGGTGATTGTGGTGGTGATTGCCTTTCTTATCGTGCGCACCCCCTCTGTTGTCGGGTGATGCAATTCCCCTCAAGCCTCCGTTGCTCTGGCCTCTCATGGCACTTGTTGTGGTCTCTGAGTTTCTACACAATTCAGATACGCATATCAAAATCAAATCAAATCAAATCAATTCAATTCAATTCAATAAACCCATTAAAAAGCAGGCACAAAACATAATAAATGATTTTTTTTGGGCAAAAAATTAAATTAAAATAAATTTATGTGGGTAGTTGTGAAATTACGGGAATGACCTTGGGACGATCTAGATCGGTGGATTGGTAATGTAGAGAGAGAGAGAGAGAGAGAGAGAGAGAGAGGCTTAGAGTTTGTAATGGGTTTTGCGTAGAAAATTAGCGTGGTTTTTGGCTTCTTTGGGGGACCTTTGTGTTCTGCTTTTAAACGAGGGAGTTGTTAATTTTCTTTTCTTTAATGAAAAGTCAGATATTTTATAGAGAGAGAGAGAAAGAGAGAGAGAGGACAGGGATGTGATGTACTGTATAACGTGCACAGCTGGTTTTTAGGCAGGATTTTAGCCGTTGGATTGAGAGTGCCTTTTGTGGGGGTTAAGGAACACGTGTTGAAACGTGGAAGGAATGGACCCGTTGCCTAATCCATCAGTGATCCGACGGCTAGAAACGGGGTTGATGAATTGGTTTTCGGTGGACACGTGGAATAGGAATTGCCCATTTCCTGTTTCCAATGAGCCCATGGAATCAGGGTACCGGTCGTTATGGATCGGATGCTATCATTCTAAGATGCAGTGGAGCTCCGATCCGGTGTGACCATGAGCAAAATAAGCCTGCTACACGTCCTAGTGGAATTCAATTTACTCAAGCCTAATCATGCTAGATTTATGATCAAATCAGCGCTAACATGATGTCTAAAATAAAATAACAAATCAATGATTCACAATAAATAAGGCATTCATTCCAAACAAGAAAACTAAAACTAGGATCAAATCAATCATGCTTGAAATCATCAACTTAATACCCCATCCTAAAAAAAGGAAGAGTCGAACTCTTGCCGTGAATGTGAGGGTAAATCCTCGACCTTATGGCACTAAGACTCTTTATATCTTTCTCTAATTGAAGTTGTTTGTTATGTTAATGTGTTTTATGTTGTGCACAACCAAGCCAAAAAGATTACATGACTACATGAGCATGAGCTCTCCTTCTGGGCTTTTACATCTCTTCACCCACCTGACCAATTGGAGAGTGGATCATTAAGATAAGCCTCACAACAAATTCGGCCCCATTTTTCATCATTAAAACTCCTAATCTCAAAAACCCTCCGATAAAATTTCATTAAACTACACATTAAGCATTAAAACAGCCATGTTAATGGCAGGCCAGGAATATAAAAAACCAGTGGTGTGGGACAAAATTCCATGCTGTCTAGCCTTATCCATTTATCCAGTCCTACTCATATAAATCAATCCAATCTAAAGCGACAAATTTGCACAAGGATAAATCAGAGATTTTCCCTTCAACCAAACAAGATTTTCTCTTCAACCAAACAAGGAAGAAGATAACAGAATTTGCAATCACTCTATTGTTGCATATGAAATAATCTAATCAAAGCAACAAACACTTACCTAACAAAATTATTTTCTTTGACCTTCACAGACGTAGAGAAATTGGCCACGCAATCTTCTGAGATTTTCCCTCACAAATCTAGAATCTAAAATCAAGCAATTCTGTATATAAAATCTCCTGATCTGATGATTATGACTGTACAGATAATGCATCTGACGGTGAGATCAAGGTATATATAAAAACCGCACCAAAACTGTACAGATATAACCGTAGGCAACAAGACCCAAAATAACTAAATGACAAAACCCGCGCACCTGGCCCACCCGCCACTAATTTAAACGACAAAACGCCACCATAATTACCCCATAAAACGACGAAACTACACGTTAACGAAATGGCAGGACAACCGAAACGACGTCCCGTGGAAGCAATAGATATAGATTTAGATAAAGCAAAAGCGTGAAGTGCAAGTGGTAACCTGAGAACACGCTGAAGTGGCGGCTGCTGCGGAGATAACGGCCGTTGACGGAGATTTAAATACCCATTCGTCTGATTAGAGTTACCGGCGGTGGAGGGCTGATTGGCTGGGTCCTTATCGGGTCGGAATACCCGGCGGTCGACCCGGACTGTGGTTCGGGTAACCGGGGCGTCGGAGTCGTCTTTGCCCTTGTCCTTGACCTGGATCTTCATACACCTGAGGCGCTTGCGGTTCCCCCACTGCAAAACGAAATCGGACGACGTCGTTGCGTGTCGTATGGCATCGGAACTCGCTCTCAACAGCAGAGAGGCTGAGGCGTCCCCTCCGGTTCTGTCTCGAGTGTTGGAATTGTGGGTGTCTTTAGTATGGGTGTGCCTAAGACAGTCCCTTTCCATCTCCTTTTGTACACCTGTCCACCCATGCCAAAACAAGAATTAATCACAGCGGTTAGTTAGTTGGTTAACATGGTTTTTTACATTTTAATCGCGGTTAATTCTCATAATTAAAGTTAGGGACGGAAATGGCAAAAACTGAGAATCTGGGATTGGATTGTGGCTGGCTCTCTGCAACTGCGAGTGCCTAGAAATAAAATTCAAATAAAAATCAAGGCCTACCCAAACAGACGGAGAAGATGAAGATCGAAAAAAAAAATGCAGGGAAAGGACAAAGAATGAAAATTGTATCTTTGATTTTCTTTTTAATCAGACGCTTCCATCGAATTGCGATTAAATAAGTTGAGCAATTACGTCTCTTAGCTCAGTTTTTTCTTGCATCAGTTTCCCGAGAACCAAACAGAAGATTTTGTACTCTGCTGGTGTTTGAATTTCGGAAAAACAAAAACTTCGGACTGCCAGCAAAGAACACCAAAGATAGATAGATTTTTCACAAAACAGAGGGTAAAATTTCGCAGAGAAGGTCTTTTCTTTTCAATGCTGATAATACAGACGGAAATCATTCAGAAAAATATATTAAAAGCCTTTAAAATGGAAGTGAGGAGGAGGAGGAAGAAGAAGAAGAGATAACCTTCCCCAATATAAAGGTCCATTAGTTTTTTGAAATTGAAAATTCTTGCATAGAAGGCAGATGACAGAAAATTGAAAGAAGATGATGGACAAAGATTCCAAGCCCATGATGGATCCAAATGTAAGACCCAGCGAGAGAGAGAGAGAGTCAAGGAACTCAGCTGGCTTCATTTGAAAAGCTTAAAATTCTATTGCAAAGTTATCTGCTTTTGAACATCGAAAATCAAAAAACAGAGAAACCAATTGCTTGGACTCTGCTGCACATGACGAAAAAGAAGAGAAAAGTGAGAGCCTCTTGAAGAAACCAAATTGAGTAGAAAGATATCAAAATTCGAAGAGCCGAAAATGGAAGGAAATCAAATCCGCCAGTGAAATCCTAAGCCCGATACTTAATTTCACTGATCTAGGATTCGGAAAATGAATCCGCACCTGTTATACTGAGATTTCGCAAGCAGCTACAATCCTGAATTTGCTAAAGAAAGTTTGCTTCTTTTGGGCAATCTTGCTCTTCTAGGCCTTCTGACTTTGCAAAATGCAAATCTAGAGCCGAAAATCAACGAAATGATTGAAACTTAGAGCCTATGTCCCTGACACTCATGAATGAGAGATGCTTGTTCTTCTTTATCTCATACCCCAGTTGAGATTTCTTCAAAAAAAGGGGTCAAATCTCCTGGAAATGTACCTGTGAAACCAAAATCAACGAACGATGAGTTAGAATAGGGGAACGAAATCGTTTAGGAAATTAAGCAAATCCAACTCCCCTCACCTTTAAACTAGATTTCTCGACCTTTTCTCTGTAAATTTCAATGAAATGAGATCCAGCTTGGAAATTATCCCAGGAAATCGATTGATTTCACTTCAAATTCCCCCAAAAGCTCTTGTGAATGTATCTGCAAAACAGAAATTGCACAAAATAACCCGGTCATTCTAAGAAATCAGATTACATTAAAACTACCAAAATCGAGCTCTGTTTTCTCCATCACAAACCTCTGCAAGCTCTTCTCTCCTTGTCTCTCCCGCGAACACACAACAGGCTCAGAGAAAAGCTTTGAATTCTCCCCCGAATTCCTCTTTAAATTCTAAAGCAGAAGAAAAACCGAAGGCCGAAACTACAGAGAGGTTCTTTCTCCTTCTTCTTCCTCTTTCTTCTTGTTGTTTTGATGGAACGAAATGCACTCTCACCTTTCAAAACCCAGGCTTTATACGACCCCTCCCACTCTCCTTCATACTTGAACCGTCCAACGCCGAGCATTATCGGCCCTTGATCAACAATCCAACGGCTCCCGCGTCTCCCTGTCTTAAACCGTCAGCTCCGTCTCTTTTAAACCCCGTTACAACGTTCTTACTATGCTTCCCCTCTTCGCGTCGTCAAATGAATCTAACAGAATCTACTACTCCGTTAAGTGGCAATAATTTGCATTACCCAATTATTTTTTAATTCATCCTGTACCTTATTTTAATTTTTAATTTTTAATTTTATTTTTCTGGTGAACCGGTTCGTTGTAGTGTGGTTATAGTGAACTAACCATGGTAAGTTTAACCAGAGTCGTGGATTAAACGTTATCAGACAATTGTCCTTGATGTCCGGTTCCTATGGCCGATTATAGACCGTAAATAAGCCGAGCTTAAATATTTGTGTGTTGACCGAATAAAATTGTTGAATCTAGAGCGTCGGTTCCTGCTCCCCATGAATTTTTGTTTTCACTGTTGGTTTGACAATGTGCAATTATGGATCATATTTTAAAGTTGGGTTGTATTTTCTAAAAATAAAAAAGAAAAAGAAAAAGAAAATGTTGGGTTGTGATTGTTGGGAGACCATGGGATGGGACACTGCCATATAATAATATTCATTTTTACCTCCATGTTTAGTAAGGATAATTTCGCATGTGTCAAGTTAAGTGGTGAGTATTATTCGATTAAAATATGTAATACAATTAGCATTAACTATACCAAATCATTCCATCTTTAAAGTAATTGGACTTTGCCAAAATTGTACATTATTGGACCCGTAATGTAGGTTGTTGCTTACCTACATTTTGGCTGCTACAGGTTGGAGCAAGCAAGGTGAGGAAGAAAGGGAATTTGGGGTTGGACGCATGCTCTCATACCGTACGCCTACATTCTCCACAACGAGATTGGGCACACCTATAGCATGGCATGTTCATTTGCCTAAAAATGGATATTCAAATCATTCCAATTCCTGAATTTACATCAGGCATAGAAATTTGTGTTTCCACATTAAAATCGTCATTCAATTCTTGAAAAACCATAAATTATATTAATTAAGAGAGTAATATAGGAAATATTTTTTTATCATCACTTTAACCCAAGATGTATGCTCACAATGCTTCTTACTACTTGAGTTGACACATGTCCTTATGCATAACCATGATTAATTTTTTACTTTGATTTATGTAATAATGATTATGCTTATGGACACATGTCAAGTATTGAGAATGATGGAGTATACACCTTGAGTGGATTAAAGTGATGAACAAAAATACTCACATTTTCTTATAACCATTTATTCTCTTTAATATTTCTAACTTTCCCCAATTCCCAATGCGATTGATATCTTTAATTCTATTTTTGAAAAACTCAATTACAGGGAATATAATCACAATGATAATGACATTATCTTATGAAAGGCCCACTAGATTACCACTTTTTATTTTATTTTTTGGGTGAAAAGCTAGATTACCAATTTACCATTTGGAGACAGACAAGAATTAGAGCCGAGCCGCTCACTTCCTTAATGAAGCAACCACAGAGAACATAAAACAAAGGCATATCGTAATTGCGAAGTTTTATATAACCAAAGCCTGATGTGTACACCGGCTGCAGCAAACAGGTACGTATTCATACGCAACAAACATGCTAATATTTACTTACAAGATTCAGTACGTACGTGCATTACAGTACAGGGGCTTGAGTTGTATTTACACAAGGTTACACTGAAGCAATCAGAATAACATTAACAATCATCGAAATGCTTTCCTAAGATATGTTTTGCATGTAGAGATGACCACGGATTGGTTATTCAAATCCCACATTTTTTTTATTCTTGAAATCATGCACTGAACCCCCGGTGCAGGGAGCTCCAACGGCTAGAAGGAACGCTCACGCAGGCTTGTGCTGAAGCCTCAGCCATCTGCTCCTTTGTCATTCCAGCGTTGCAGATGTTTGCCAGGGACCGCATGTGTTTCATCCCGTATTGAGATAGGGATCCACAATATGTCTCAAAACTCCTCACCTGCACAAACAAACCCATCAAACCCATCAGGCACAGGCACAAATATTATTTGTGAAAATCTGTTTTATATATGCAGAACAAGATATAATCAGAAAAGTTTTAAAAGCATTAAGGGGAAAACGGACAGCAGAAGTATTACCATTGTCTTAAGGCAGTCCCAGTCATCAACAAGTGGCTGCCCAGCAGGTCGAACAGTGTTGAGCACTTCTGGACCTTTCTTGATTCCAAACAGGAGTTTCCCGATAAGTTTCATGGTTTGATCCATATGCATTCTATGAGACATTGCTTCAACAAAATCTTTTTGAGCTTGAATTTTCCTTGGTGAGCCTTCAGGAGCTTTGCGGTACTGCATCCAGAAAAAGAAAAGAAGTGAAAACAAGGGGCTTAGATCCTCAGGCTGACAGCTTACACACAGAAATAGTTACAAAACCACAGAATATTCAGAAGTAGAACCTTAGAATTTCATAACAATTAAGGCTTTTATTTAATCAAAACCTTGGTTTCATTCCATTTTTGGTATTCAAAATTCTTGTTCCAAGCAGAGATATTCTACTGCTTTGTTTGGAGCTTCACAGGAGAGCAGGGCACACGGCATGGTTCCAAAACCTCCATGGTACTTATGATATGTTACCGTTTAAACAATGAACACATGGAGTATTCCCCAATCATCATTACCGATCTCTCCTGACTTTTAATCAAATCAATCATAATATCTAACAGTATGACATACTTCCAAATATAAGTACTGATGATGACTAGTACATAACTTTTAAGACTAGATATTTAAAAGAAAAGGCAAAATAACTATTTACGGATGAAAAATTAAGAGATAAACCTTATGCCAGAAATGGACAAGATCAGCATCCCGCTGGTTGACAGCTTTTGTAGATGGCCTCAAGGAGTTCTCGCCCAGAAAAGTGTAGTTATCATTTGCAGGATTTGTCCCCATATACACAAAGAGGTTGTCCTTGCTGAGCCCTACATCGCCATATTGCATGACATGAGAACCAAAGCCAGAATTGTCATTTGCTGTCCTCGTTTTAACCTGGGCCATCATAATGAAATCAAAGAATTGACATTAGCAACTAGCAGGATCACATCTAGATATTTCTTGGCCAGACCCTCAAGACTTCTCTAAATACAGACAATCTCATTTATTTAAACATACAATAATAAACAGCTGGTCTACCTAAATTATCAAGTGACACTAAGCGATTCTTTCCTGTACAAAAGAAGAAGAAAAATTCTCTATTTGTTCCATAACAATGTGTTAAGAGACAAATTCTTACCAGTTCATACTGTTGGTGCAAAGTTTCCGACCTCAAGTTGTGTACATCACTGTTCACAAGGTCAAAATGTTAAATCTCAAATGAAAAATTATAATTTGAACAGTTTCATTCTCCAACCTGAGAAAGAAACTGCTCTTGTAAGGACAATCCAAACACCCACACCACCAGTGCAAGGATTAAAGAAGAAAAAACAATTGGCATGAAATCATACAGTTTCAAACTTCTACCTAATTCATATATTCTTCATATTTTGAGGCAAATCTTAAAGTGACAATACTAAAGAAGTAATGCACTTTTAGGGAAAGATGAAATTGTTATTATTTACCAAGGGTATGCAAAATGAAGCTGACATTAAGCTGCTTTTGTTCCCACCCCTTTATTGAAAATTTAACAAAATGAAAAAATTCTGCATACCTGTCTTCCATCCAAGCAACGCTATACAAGTCACCCAAGCAGGTTTCATACTCCAGGGGAGGACTAGGATATTCTCCTGGGCAGTAAGTCCCCCAACTGCTCTCTTCTGCATTTGATGCCGTAGTTGCAAAGATATTCAAACCTTCAGGAAGAAGTCCCTCAAAGATACTTCCGGATTCACAAGCTTCAAGATAAAATACCTGCAGTTTTACGAATTAGTCCAACTCTATTGGTAAATGCAGCATCTATTTACAGTTCAACTAGAAACTTACCAAGCTTTTATAGGTTCCTGCTGCGTGCTTCTTCTTCAGGACTTCTATTAGATCGTTAGCATAAATATATGGACTGGTAGGCATCCCTGGGGAAAGAGTAAGTAGATAAGATATGGGGATGTGGGCAAAATAATATCAGTATTGTCATGTGCAGAATTGATACTAACCAAGAACTCCAGGACCACCATGATCAGAATAGTAAATGAAAATATGATCGTCTGGACCGCTGTCCACAACCTTCCCAGTACCCCCTGTAAGAGCAGTTTTATTTCCAAGGATAGCAGCAAAAAAGTTGTTAACAGTAACATCATCGCCGGTGTAATCCTGCCACCATAAAATTGACCGCATGAGGGGAATTATAACTATCAATTCAAAAGCAGGTAAACACCTAGAGGGGAAGATAACAGACCTTTGGGACTCCTTTGTAAACGTCATCACCATGTGGGCTGTTAATGATGACTCCAGGCCTAGGGTTCTCTTCGTTATAAGCGATATCATCATACATGAATACAACAATGTTTTCATCTTTCAGCCCACCTTTCTTCAGTAGTTGATAGGCATGGCAAATATCAGCCTAAACAAACAAGATAAAAAGGTCCATGTTAAACATCAATCAAGAAATGAGGGTGGCTTAGCTTTCAAATATGAGAAACCAATAAGATATTTATTGACATTCATATGAAGATATAGACACAACAAAAGTATCAATTTCACCCGTGACACAGAAATCCAGCTCCTATACAAATATGGTTAACTTTGAGATGTACTCCATGTCAAAGTTTCAAACTGAGATGAGATCAAGGAATTTAATAATTAATAAAACGAACTTGAACTAAATGCATATGAGTTCCAAAACAAACTCAAGCCACATGTAAATTTAAAACTCTGTCTTAGTCAAAATGAGATGAGATCAAGGAAGATAAGAAAGACACAAGCTTGAGCTAAATTCATATTAGTTCCAAAACAAACTCAAGCTTCCAAATTTTAGTTTGACAAATTCGAAAGCAAACAAGGTAAACGAATCAGAAATTGGATAAGATGAAAGTCAAATTTAAAGGAGATTATACAAGCATAAACTTTCCAATATGAGGTCACCCAAATTCAGATATCAAACAATTCAAAAAACATGAAGGGAAAAAAAAAATTGAAATTAACATCCAAAATTATAACTCAAATTCCATGAACAACTAAAGTTTGATGAAAAAAAAAAACAAAAAAGAATATTTCTGAATTCAGAAATATGATATCGTGTAAAAGTAAGACCTGATGCCTGTAATTCCAGTATCCATTTGAGCCAGCGATCAAAACAGCCCATCTGGTCCCCACGGTGCCGTCGTCTTGCTCATCAGGGCCGTCATCGCCTCTGCCGAAGAATCTAGAAGCTTCAGAAGGTAACCGTAAAACGTCTCCGATCAGGTCCCGGCTACCGGCAGCGAAACCGGAGAGGGAGACAAGGAACAACAGGACGACGGCGCTAGCCAACCGAGTCATGGCGGTTTCCGGTCAAATTGGGATGAGGATATCTGATTGGTGGAGCTGGCATAAAACACAAAGATCGAAGGTTGGAGGAGGAGTTGATATTTATTGGTGACCACGTGGTTTCTCTCTTTCAATGCGACTTGGATGATCGATTGCGGGCCCAAGCGGGCTTACTCTTTAATTGGAAAGGCGTGCAATCTGGCGCGTACACGTCGGCACCGTATTATTGCGGGAATTACGGTGTTGGCGCTGTATAATTCGACCGGTTTTTTCACCTGTAATTCGTATAACAAGGTGTAATTTCATTTATTAAAGAATACAGTTTCTTTAGTTAACTTGCCAGATTTTTTATTTTTGAGTATCAGAGCAAGTCAAGATTCTTTATAACTATGCCAGATTTATAAGCTTGTTAACAATACTAATAAAGAATACTTCGGCCCAAACATCCGACCTAATCTATTATCATTCAAAATAAGAGCTTAGTCTATCATTGTTCAAAACAAGAACTGGAAGCTCTAATGAGTTATATTTTTGTATTTTCTTCTTTTAACTTTATAATATAAAACCTACTAGATGTTGAAGAATGTTAGGTTGAAACTTTGGTACCAATCATGCCCACCTTCCCCTCGTATGAAAAGGTAGAAAACAAGGTAGGTATGATTTAAAGAATACAACAAAACTGATGATGCAGCAGACAAAGGAGGGTATCTATTAGATTTATGAATTACAGGACAAAAAAAATGCACCATTGCTTGCTGAACAAGAACTAGTGATGCTGAAATGATAAAGGAAGGTCTGTATTTCCACCTCATACCCGTTCCAATCAATGGTATCTGAATATCAGGTTGGGATTGGCAGCCTTGCTTGGCCTTGCTCTAAAACCATGTTATCCGTCCAACTGGCGCTCAATAAAATTTAGGAAAATACTAGGTTTACCACATTTTTCATACCACATTTCTAATAGAGGTGGACCCCATTGTATTGGTGGGCTCCACCTCTATTAAAGATGTAGTATGAAAAATATGGTAAACCTAATATTACCCTCAAATTTATACTTTCTTATAATAAGAACGGTTGGACATATTACGTGGTCCGACCTTTTCTCCCGAAACTTACTCCTAAAAATTTCACACTCAACACTCCACATCAACTCACTTTTGTTGCGGACTCGTTCGGATTGGCCAATGACGTATGGCCCACTATTGAAAATAAATCAAATGTCGACAGATTCAATGAACCTACTACCAAGAATTACGTATTCAACAAAAAAAATCATAAAATATCCCTAATTGATTGGGCTGCAAAACAGTACGTTAGCCCGATAATTTTCAGCCATTTTGGGCTCGCTCAGTACAAATACGCAAAGCTTCCTTGGGTTGGGCCTTTCCTACTATAATCCAATCCGGATTAATATCATCGTTTGCCACGCAGCCAAACAAGCCATTACTGATTACCGCCAGCGCTCATCTAGGCTTCACTATAAAACACCATACCAACGAGACGCAGTCCTCTGAGGAACCAAACGCCAAAAGCCGCGGTTATGCTTCATCGTCCTTAAGCAGAGCACTCGAATCGGAAAATTCCAGAAGCTTTGAATTGCTGCGTTTTGTTTTTGCATTGTTAGGGTTCGTACATCGGTAAAAAAAATCTATTATATTTATTTACGCTTTTTTTTGTTTTCGTTGTACCTGTGAATTTTTCTGGTTAGGGCTCGCATAATCTGTTTGGTGATTTGCCTTAGAGAAAATTTGCACGAGTTTGCAGTTTTTGTCACGTCTGTGGAAATCTGCAGGAATTGATGCGTGTTTTCTTCCTGCTTTCTGCTCAGTAGGTGCTTATAAATTTCGTGGTGCGTTTTTTCCCTATTGAAGAAAACCTTATATGGAAGGAGAACACAGCATACTAGACGCAGTATTTGAAGACGATAACTTTGAAGATGGCGAAGATGTTGAGATGCTTGATGTGGAAGAAGGTGAGCTTGTGGAAGAAGGGGAGCTTGTGGATTTTAACTCACAAAATGGTTCGGGACAGAGCAGTGGTGGCAATGTCAGTGTAGCAAACCAAGAACGTCAGGGCAAGAATCAGAAGCGCAGGGGTAAGAAGAAGAGGAATAGGAGAAGGAACAGTGGCCCTGGAATTAATGTCACTGACATAGACAGGTTATGTCCTGCCCGATTAAGAACGAAAGAAATTACATGTATTCAAAAGGAATTTGGAGCTCTCTTGTGGGTTTTGACATTCTTTTAATGTTGTGTCTTTTTCAGGTTTGTGATGGATACATGTAGGCGACTGAAAGAGAAGAAATCATATCTGGTATATACTGCTGTTGGTTGTCTGGGTGTTCTTGCATTGAATGATCTCGTCAAAGAGGTATGCTGCCCTTTGTTGTGTGCTTTTGTGGAAATGCTGTGACAAAGCAAATTATATAACTTGGGTATTGTTTGCTTTATCTTTTATACGCAACTACGTGTGCATTACATTATGTTTTGTAATTGTCTTCTTCTGAAAATCTCCTTCACAGACGCCATTAGCAACTGGTTGTAAATTTGGTACATGTTTATCTGCATTAATGTGCATTTGTAGATGATCCGACCTTGCTGTCAGTTTGAGAACATGTGCTTTGTGCCCAATACCTTTCAGTGGAGTTTTCAGTGATATTCTCAATTGAAATCATCTATTATATTGTTCAAAGTAATTCTATTATGTACCTGCTTGAGCACTCTTGGTCTTTCTGCTAATGGTAATCCTGTTATTGGGTGAATGGGTTAAGCGTCTGGTCGTGCTTCATGGGTACTTCTTAAGATTGCCTTGGCTCGGCTTCACATCTAGCTTTAAGATGATCCGATCTTGCTGCTCATGTTCAGAACATGGGATTTGTACTCAGAGCTGGGTTTCAGTGATGTCAATTAAAAATCACCTATCATATTGTCCATGCCAATTATGTTCTATAGATTCTTGAACACTCTGGTTTTTTTGCTAATCGAGGGTCCTGTTATTGGGAGGATGGTTATGCGCCCAGAAATGCTTTATGGGTTACTTTTAAGGTTGTCTTTACCTCCTGAGCCATCTGTCCCTTTTAAAGTCCCCTTCACATTATAGCTTCAAGGGGAAGGCAGGGTATCCTTTGTTGAGAGTGGACTTGAATGATTCAACTGGCCTTTTGCAAGGGAAGGTGAGATTCTGGGTTGCTTAATTTTGGACCAGCTTAGAGCTGCCGATGCTTATGCACACTATTTGGCCACGCAGCCTTGCATAATTTCTGATCCTCAATGTTGTTTCCCTACCCTTGCAGATTTCTCTTGCAGAAGCCATTTTACTCCTTTCAATCTTGTGCTCTGAGCTGTGATGTCCCCCGGATGAACCACTTCATCTTATGCTATTTGTGTAGGTTGATATCATTTTTTCTTGGAGTTGCATTAGCCAATATGCATGCAAAACACATGTAAGAGTACTCTAATAGATATGCATAACAAAGCAATACACATCTATTTTTGCTCCAAAAAGCTCATCATTCATGTTTGCTCCTCCCCCAGGAACCATAAGCTCTATCCGGAGATGGTTTACAGAAACTTTTGTGATTATGAACATCTTTGAGCTTCCTTTGATTGTAGGGAACGATATCCTTAGTTAAGTAATTTCTGAATTTTATTAGATGTGGTTGTTACAAGTGTTTCTATGTTTCTCGTATATTAGTTATTTGTAGTCCGGAGGGAATCCAGTATCAGGAGAATGGATACTTTTTCCCTGCTAGAAACCATGGTGTATCTAGGATATCACTTATGAAATGATGAAAAATTTCAGGTGGATGCGATCCAGGCTTGTGGAGGTCAGATGACTCATGATGGCAAACGTTTCCGATTTGGTGGTGGAGTACTATGGAGTATCATCAAAGCACGAGAACCAAAGGCCTACAAAGAGATAATGAAAAAAGGAAGGGAATTTGAGGTGCGTAGTAGTGGATCATAGATTCATAGTGTTGTTTCTGATGATATTTCCCGAATGTCAATTAAATATCACTTTTATGAGAAAAAGTGTAAAACTACAGCGTTGTTGATTACTTTTTATGTTTTCTATCTCCATGCAGAAGCAATTCAGGTCAACAAATAATAGACAACCAATACAGCAAGGGAAAGAAGGTTCATCTCAAGCAATTGTGAATTCATTCAAGGATGATACTCCAGCTAATGTTTCAGATGCCGTACCGGTTATATGTCAAATGCAAACTCAAGGCATTCAGTCAAATACTGAAGGGAAACAACTTTCTGTTCATGATAGGTTAAGGGTGCCTGTTTCATATGATGATGACCTGCTTGGAGAGGCGCCCAAAGATGATGCACTTGAATGTTAGAAGAAATGGATTTATATTCGCCCAGGATCTTCTGTTTCTATTTTTTCATCCAGAGGGTAGGCATTGAGTTTACTCACAGATGGGGTTTTTATATGCAGAGAGTTCTCATTTGTTTCGTTTGCCTGGAGGCAACATAATTCTTTTCCCCTAGTAAAGAGTTTAACTGAAGTTTATCAGCATTATCATATTGTGATTAAAAGCATTTCAATGAAATTTCAAGAATGCGTTTTGCCACAATGTCAAGTCTTATTATATTTATGTTCATGAATTTCTACCCCTCTGATGTCTTTCTAGAATTGCCTGGAGAAAACAAATCAAAACATCATTGTTTATTCGTAGACATTTTGAAAATTTACTGAGCATTTTGAAGGTTGCCAATGGTTCTGGTTGGTTTTAAAAGATTTCATTTACTGGCAGATGATTTGACGAAATATTTATTCTTGAAAGCAACTGTTGTCTTAACCAAAAATGGAACTCGTGGGCTTATATACATAATTGGATGGGTAGCTTATCAGAAATTGAAAAAGTATAGTGTCGTGTTAAAATGTATGAAGATTAAAAAGATCACAAAGCAACAAGCATTGCTCAAAATCTCATATCTTTACAGGCACAACATGATCAAGTAGTTTGTCTTGCAAAAACAAGCAAACCACAGTGCAGTCATCTATCTTAGCAGAAGGGAACTTCCTTCTCCATGTGGCCACCGCAGTCTCCGTCACCACCTTTGCTGCTGCTTGTGCACTATCAGCTTCCCACACAATGGATGCAACTTCACTGTTGCTGAGCACATCCCAAACCTAAATACCAAGCCCAAGAACAAAACACATCATTGTGGTTAAAATGCCATTCATAGGAAAGCAACTGTGCCCTTTTTTCTTTGGCAACCCTAAAACTCTTAACAAGTACACATTTCATTTCCAATAGGGCTTACCCCATCCGTTGCAAGAACGACAAATCGATCTTTGGAAGTCAGGTGGCGATAGGAGACGTCAGGGGTGGCAATGATGCCATGGTCCTTGAGTATAAAGTCTCCAAAAGCTCGGGACATGGCTAGGCCTGGGAGGTCAATATGAGGCAACCACACTCTCTGGATGTTAGGTTCTTGCTTTAGTGCAACCACTCGACCATCACACGCCCTTATTCGTTCTGCTTCACCTGCATTAAAAACGATCACCAGTCAGATAATCACTTCAAATTAAACACAAGAAAAAAAAAGGAAAAAAATGATGAACTTCTTACTAGGTAAAGCTGGCTTTAGATCAGTGGTCAATTGAATGGCCTCAATTCCATTCTCTCTAGTGGTTCCTAGGACTGCCCTTGAGTCACCCAGATTAGCTATAAAAAGATCCTCACCCTGTTTGATTCTTGAATTAGAGCCAAACACAAAGAAATAAAGAAAGAGAAATAATTTGTTCAATGATCATGTGTAGTTTCTCTCACCTGTTTTATGACAACAACAGCAGTGGTTCCACTACAAGAGCTGTCCAGATTTTCTTGAAGCTTAATCTCCTTGTCCATGACTTTGAAGGAGCTGACAAAGGCTTCTTTCCATTTGTGAAATTTCTTGCTTGGTTCTGAATCTTCTGAGTCGTTTTCTATTCTGTCAATGTGATTTTTCGAATCATCATCCTCTGCTACTGCAGTGGCTTGTTGATCAAGAGCTTTCATCTGGCCTTGTAAGAGTGATGGCAGGTTGCTTCTCACCAGCTGACTCACTTGGTGCCCGAATCTTCCATGTCCATCGAAAACTCCACAGAAAGCTTCAGCTTCCAATCCATAGCCCTATTGAAAAGACAAGAAAAAAAAAAGAGGTTTAAGCTATAATCAACAGACTTTCAGAAGCCTAGTAAAATAATATGAAACCCCAGATTATGCAACATGCTTTACATGAATGCTTTTCGAAACAAAATTGCTGATGATTTTCTAAGAAAACAAGCCTTGCCATTCTATATATTTATGTATAGACAAAGCAAAAAACAAACAATATGGTTTTGATGAGCAGCTAGAGAAACACACAGAACAATTCCTTTGCTTCCTTCCATAGAATAAAGGGAAAAGAAACATTCACAAACCTGGTAAAGAATGGCACTATCTTGGTTTACTCCTTTGCTTCCTTCCAAAGAATAAAGGGAACCATGCATCTGAATTCCATTAGAATCCTCACTCCTTTCAAAGGACATTGGAGCTTCATGGCCATCCTGAATTTTGTGAGCTGAAGAAGATATGCAGAGTCCCATTAAAACTGGAAATGGATTTTTTCTTTATCTCCTCCTCCTCCTCCTCCTATCTATCTCCTATAGTCCAAAGTTCATTTGAAGTCCTCCTCTCTTTAATCATGAATATAAAGGGCACAACATGTTAGCAAAATGATCATCTATTGGAGCAAATTAAAGTGGCTCCAAAGAGAGCTGAAGGAGCTTCAATAATTTGACTATATTTAAATAAATTCTCAATTATTTTATTCCACCCCGAGATTCAAATACCACTTGAGAGGTGTCTACTTTAACTTATATATAACTAACTTGCAATGTAAGCCATTTACCATTTACTTTTACATTCAGAACATGTACTAAGGGCCCATTCAGTAACGTTTTAAGAGGTTGTTTTCATTTTCAGAGAACAAAAATGAGGCAAAAACACGTTCGGTGGCCCAAAAACAGAAAACATTCAGAATGTTTTCATAAAATGAAAACAAATTCATGTGTACTTATAGAAAACAGAAAAAAGTTGTTTTCATTCTCGTGGAAAACGTTTTCATCAAAATAACTCACATATTATTATTTCAAATTGTACTACCAGACACGTTTTTATTGTTTTTGTTTTCTGAAGATGTTTTCTAATTAATATATCAGACGCATTTTCATTTCTTGAAAATGCAAATTCTTTTTCTTGTTTTCATTCTCTGAAAATATTCTCATAAAACGTTACCAGACGGGCCCTAATTAACCAACTAAAAACCAGCAAATCATGATGGTTTTAACTTCTGTCTAAGTAACCCACAATAAAGGGCTCATAACTTAAATAGTTTAGAACATTCATTCATGCATTTAAGATCGTGCGGTCAATTCACCCCTCGCTCAATATTTGCTTTTATAAAAGCAAAAAAAAGTTAAATAAGATAAGATAAGTGACCCACAAGGCACGAGCCCATGTTCATCTGTCATTCAAGTAGGTGAAGATGGAAGCAATTTGAAGTGTTAACCTAGTTATCCCCACCATCACTTGTAAAAAGAAAAGAATGAGTTGACATGACCAACTCGATGCACTTTACAGAGAAGGGAGATTGGTCATGACAATTAGAAATAGATTATTAAGACTAATAATAGTTAAATAGCGCCTGAACGGCTTGGACAAGTTTATGAAAAGAAGATCAAAACAGTTGGTCAAACTTTAAAAACAACACAATTATACAAATCTAAGCATTAATAAATCTAGGGTTTATTTTTAATAAATAAAAAAATTCAAAGTGGAGTTTTTCTTTGTACTCGTGTGCAAGCAAGCAATATGTAAGCATGCACAAGTGGACAAGGAACACACAAGCGACACGTCATGCCGGCAGATTTCCTGAGCAGAAGAGTTAAAGATGGAGATGAATCTGACCCTTACAATCTAAGGATTTATTTAATTACTAAAACTAATTCTAGAGATGTCACAGATAATTCGTGTGATTAAGATCATCCCTCCAAGTTGACTTCTGCTTTAAAAAAATGGAAAATGCTAGGAAGACCAACTTTAGATACTAACTTGTGTACCAACTCTCTAATAAAGCGTGGGACCCATTATATCGGTGGGCTCCACCTCTATTAGAGAGTTGGTACACAAGTTGGTATCTAAAGTTGGTCTCCTTAGCATGATCCTAAAAAAATTATATGGATGAGGGATTTTGGTTATCATTTCAACTTTTCGAGCTCTGCATCTTCTGCTGTCTCAATTGGCAAACCAATACATTGACTTCACAGAGTTTTTTGTTTTTGTTTGTTTTTTTTTTTTCTGATTACCAATATTTTGACCTCACCATTGGAAGCAATGAGTCATATGGGTTTTGTGAGAATGCAAATAATAGTCGATTGGTTTTTTTTAATAAGAGAAGAAAACCTTAGCCTCACTCCAAAGGGCAAGGCAGGGTTCTGCGGGGAACCTGAAAGATTTAATTTCAAACCTCATAAGTCTTTCATCAATGCCTATGGGTAGTATATACTTATGCAATCAAGTTTTGTCACCTTTCAATCTAGTAGCATTAGACTATGAGGAAGGCTTACACTTTGTTGTTAATTATTTTTTATTTTTTCGAGCGGGGGAGATTTTGACACACGTCTCATGATGTGACTGGCAAAGCGGCAACTAAGCTGTTTTCCGAGAATGTAGTTCCATGTAGCAAAATTCAACTTACACCTTCCTCATTTTAGGCCGCTTATGGGAGAATTTGAGCCTTGGCATAGTTTATAAATACGTAACAATTAGTGCCAGAATCTTTTGCCATCTAATATGCCAAGCTGCCGCGTGACGCCGCATAGCAAGCCAGCCTCCACCATCGCATGCCTTCTTCCCTCTTCATATTAATGGTGATACACATACAAACTAGTACTAAGAACTTGCTTTTGCTATATTTTACAACGTGATCTTGAATGTCATAAAAAAAACCCTTTGACAGATAGGTTAAAATAAACATTGGGATTCATAACATTCACAATTTGTACAGACAGATAGGATCAAGATCAAATCGGCTACTCATTCCCACTCAACAAGAGGTTCACATCAACATCAGACAAACTACATACATATGAGACTTTTAGAAGCAACATGACCTCAGTAAAATTAATTTCTAGTGTTCTGAACTTCTGATACACCGGATACAGTTATAATACTATCATCAGTAGTCGTTGAGTCTGCTGCCGGCAACTTTTTTGCAAGAGGCTTAGGTATGTCCAGATGGTCTTGTGGGCAACGCTGCTGAGGGTGTGATAGCAGCATACACATGTAACGGAAGAGAACTCGAGTTAATCCCTGACCGCTCTCCAAGATGTAGCCCTCATATTCGCTAACAAGTTCCAGGGCATCCACGAGTGAATCATAGACCTCTTGAGGGCAGTTGTCAGGTCCAGGCTTGTCGTGAAGGTAAACTACATCCAGAGTGAAGAGTTTCTGGTTCACAGGCCATTGATGATTTGGTCTTACAGATGATCTACAGTAAATAAGAATCTAAGGGCAAGCATGTCAGGCTTTAGCAATCAACACACAAAAATTTCAACATCATGGAAGGGATAAAATGGAAATATTACAATGACACGGATATAATAATTAACCAATGTAATAGCATGAAAAGTGAAGCCAACCACTGCTTACCACCCTTAAAAGTCTGTTTTGAGCACGAGATTTCTTTGCTTCATGAGCTGCTACTCGAAATAGACTGGTAAGATCTGCATTACTAGAAGATGAAGTAGCTGAGAGTACTCGAAATGCAGCAATAGCAGAATCGACTTCACTGCTAAACTCTTTCCGAAGCTTCATAAAAATGAAAAACAAAAGGTTCCAAATCAATTACAAAAACATAAATCAAACAAACAGACACAAAGGATAAATTGAGTGTTTCAAACAAAAACCTGCCGAAGGTTTGCTTACACTGCATAAATATTTACTACTAATGGGGTATTTGCATGATAATTATGCATATCATGCATCAAAACACAACCCTACAGCAAGGTATGTGAAGGATTCTTGGTACTGCACCCCATAAAATAAGTCTAGGACCAAAATGATCAAGGTATGTGGATGATTCTTGGAAAGTACACTTTGAAACTATGATCAAGATCCGAAATCTCCTTAACAGTTAGTAAAGGAATTGATTTCTCACCCGCATTCAATAAAAGTGACCAATGCTTAATCAAAGGCAAAACTAATAGAAGTGCTACCTGCTTAGTTTCCTCACGTGTTTATCTGTTTATATTTATCATGTATTTTATCTCAAGGCTTCATCATTAGTATTCTCTAATAAGCCTCCTCAGTAGTAGTGTTCATATCCAACTCTTGTTAACCGATGTAGTACTTCTTATGAATATACATGAACAGCAACCCCATATTGTATCGTGGGTTTCACACTTCTGTCTAAACTCTTTCATGGTATCAAAACGTTTTTGACCTGGTGAGACTCTGTGCAATGGGCTACTTGAAAATAGTGATTTAAACTAATTTTCCTTCATTGATCCATCCAGAAACCAAATTCATGGGATGCAATGCAATTGCTTACATTTCCTGCAAATGAGAAATTCAATCTACCCATAACCTTATATATCACAAAAAACCTCAAAACTATGGATCATGGTTTCCAGGAGTTCAATTCCTCAAAAACACATAAGAACCATAAAATCCTCTGCCCTTGATCGCAAATTTTCTCGGAAACCGAACAGAAACCAAGCAATAAAGAGAGAGATGAACAGAGAGAACCTACCCAAGACGCGGACTTTCCGAGACAGGCAAAGGCGAATCGGTGCTCTGGGTTGATGGTGAGCTTGGCGTTGATGAAGACTAGTATGGCTTGCTTGATCGAGTCCAAGCGGGTTAAAGGTCGCCCATTTGGGCCCATCGCGGCTTTCATCTCCACCATAGACTCTGGGTCAACATCTATACAGAACAGAATGTCCTCGTTGCTTAGCCTCGTTGGTCTCAGCGTGTATCTGCCCGCACCCGACCCGTCCCCTTCTACTATTTCCTCCATCTCTCACACAGCTCAGAGCTGAACTTCCCAAATGAAAGCAAAGAAGAAAGTTTTGCGAAAACAGTCTCATTTGCATTTCACAGTAAAAGGACATATATGTACAGGTCAAGGGTGCGTTTTATGCTACTGATACAAGGGCCTTTTCGGCACTATGCACAGAAAAAGCCACGGCTTGCTCCCTATTTCTGGTTGCTTCGATTTCTTTTTCGCCTTTTTGTGCTGCTTCTTAGAAATTTGGTGATCGAGGGAAAGAGAGAGATGGCTTGCTTACATGACCACAGCTGCGAAGAGCATGATTGTTCTTCTGATTGGTCTCTCTACAAGCATATAGACCTCCCCAAGGTCCTATTTCTCTGCCTTTTTCTTTGCTCAGTCATAATTTTTCTATTCCTATGTTTTCGTTGTTAGCTATCACACTGCTGCTCTGCGTATACTGGTAGGTTTCAGTCTGCTTGCCCATTTTGTGATTGTTTTGGTTTTATCTGAAAGTGCCCAAATGAAAATTAGTTGAACGAACAGTGATCAACATAAACCCTTAAGCTCAAATGCTGAATCTCATACACATTTCTCCGTAAGCATAATGGTTCTTATGTGTAGGCTTCTTGGTTGTAAATTAAAATAGTTGGATATGAAGCTTTGCTAATAATACTCCATGCAGATGCTGTTATTGCTAGTTTCCAGAAATGTTTAGAAACTTTTATTGTTTTTTTTTTCGGGGACGGGTGCTTGTGTGTTGTGGTTTTGGCAGTTTGGTTGTGGGTGGCTATATGACTGATAATTGTTGATTGTTGATGTGGGGTGATTTATACTTTGCAATATTTTCACACTGTTATTCTGTAAATGAATATTTCGTTGGAGCTTCCTCTTGCTGATTGACATGATGCCGTGTTCTCCTTGAGAGAATATCTTATTCTGTTCTTAGGTTTCGGCTTTGAATGAGGCGGTTCCAGGAAGCGTCAAGTCAGTTTTTAAAGCTTGGGAGCAACGGTTGAATTCTACTGGGGTAATGAGCTCTCTATGTTCTTCTCTATACGTCCTTGTTAAAAGTAATGATCCAAATTTCATAAGTTAATCTACTTGAAATCTCAGAATGACATTTACGAAAATTTGTAGGAATCACTGATTGAGATTTAGTTTAGGTTTACCTTATATTTTGATTGTAATTTATGTTCAATTACTAGGCATATGAAGCCTCATTTTGATTCTACTTTCTGCAACAGGAACACTTGGAGAGCAATGAGGGTGATCCCGAGTTACTTGTTTACATTCCGTGAGTGTCCGCTTTTGTTGTTTTATGTGATATCTTCATGAAATGAGTTATAGACTGCATAATTATGAAATGGATGGGGTCAGGTAGATCCAATGGTTGAGTACTTTTACCCATTTTTCCATCTTTTCATTCAATTTCAATGGTAACATGTGTCCGATTTTGTTAGATCTCCATAGTCGGGTTTGTATGAGTTTTGAGTAAGGGATTCAACCTTAGTAGCATCTCCAGGTTCACCTAAAACAAAACATAACGCTTAATTTGTGTGTAATTTATAATTAATCTTTTGTCTTGTGCTCATCTGCTATATCTGATGCTTAATATAGTTGTACTTATTGTTCAAACATTTGGTCGCATCCTGATAAGTTCTATACCATTCTGACACCAACTTATTAGATGAAGTCATCTCTGATGTTGTTTCTTTACATTCTGATTGAGCTATATTTTGTTCATTTAATTGTGATAGATTTACATCAGATGTCAAGATCAAGAGCATATCAATTATTGGCGGCGCCGACGGAACAAGTCCTAGCAAGATGAGGGCGTAAGTTCAAACTTTAATAGTACTGATCACGAGTCTTGTTCTATATGATTCTGACAAAATAAATATCAAATCAGTCTTTGACAGATGTTCAATATCCATCACATTTTTTATATTTGAAAAAACTAAAAATATGACTGCACTGCTTAATTAGGTTCATCAACCGAGATGGCATTGACTTTTCAGATGTTCAAGGAATGCAAGCCATTCAGGTATTGCTTTCATATTAGCTTGTTCAAGAGTTAATTGAAAAAATTCAATTTTTCAGCCTTGAAACATGTGTTCTTATTGTTTTAAGGAGTGGGATTTGGTCGAAAATTTTCAAGGAGTGTTGGAGTACCAGACAAGGTATTTATTCACTGCCTTTTGTACTACTACTACTTCAAAAACCATGTTGTTTAATTTTCTAGAACATGAAAACTATAAAACTTGAGCACAATGAAAGAAACCTTATTCTTTTTCAAATTGAACAGCGAAGGTAATTACTTTGAATTGCCACTGAAATGAGTTCTTTTGTTGTTTTTTGTTTTGTTTGAGTTTCATTTTACCATCTGCTATCGCTCTAATATTACATTTCTTCGTATAATTAGGTATTCCAAGTTTCAAAACGTGGCCAGCATCACATTGCATTTTCCTGATAGTTTTGGTGGTGATACAACTAAGATAGAGTACATTGGCTTTAAAGGCGAAGCTACTCAGGTAATTTAATTCCATATGAGCATATTATGTTGTGTAAGTTGTGCAAATAACTAATACATCATTTGCTTTTCTATGATGAACAGTTGAAGAGGGATGTTGTTGCAACAATTGTTTATGAACTCAGGCCAAATCCTTCTGATCACAAGTAAGCTTTCATTATCCTTGTGGAATGGAAAATTTTGGTCTTTTTCAAAGAAATGTGGTTTACTTTTTGTGGGTTTATCAGTTAAAAAATGTAGAGTTTCATGTCTTGTTGAAAGAATTCGATACTATTTGCCAGTGGAGAAAAGAACTGATGCATGTGGTTTTGTTTGTCAATTGTGTGCTTGTTTGCAGGACAAAGGCTGAAGGTGGGGGTCTTTCACATGTGGAATGAGGAAACTCAAGCCATGCTAGCAGTTCAAAGTCTGAAATGAACAAGTTTTGCTAACTGTGACCTGCTGTGCTTGTTAAGAATGGAACACTTTTTGTATATCGATAATATAAACACCAAGGAAATTACTTGAATTGTTGTCACATCAGAATCCTTTTATTTGCTGTGGCTCCTTTTCCTGTGCTATGTTTCGTTGGCTTTCTTTTTTATGGGTTGCACAGTGCTACTCTTAAAATTAAAGCCAGCCATTCTCAGACCCAAAAAAAAAAAAACAAGCCAGCCATTCTCTTCCTTTTCCATTGGAATGTTGAGCTGGATTAGCTTATTATTTTGTACAAAATGGATTGGAATTTTTTTTTTTTTTTGGTAAAAAATGGATTGGAATTTGATAGAATCGTTAAAATGAGATATTGTCCAAATTAATCCAAATGATTCATTTGTTAAATAAGTCAACCTCTTTTCATATTTGATTATTATTATTGAATACAAGCGACGGTATTAACTACAAGAGGGACATGATTTTTCACACACACTATCAAGGTACCATGAGATTTCGAATATAAGATCATTTATTTGAAGTCAATGTCATTTTCCACCAAGACCCGTTGGCTATGGGATTATTATTATTATTGGGCTAATTTAATTGCAAAACCCAAATTATTTTTAAATCATAAATCATGGGAACGAATTATAATCCACATCAAGCTAGGGTTTTAGCTAAAAAGCTCGCCAGAAACGAAAAACAAATACATGGTTTTATACTTCGTCGCTCGCAACCCTGCAACAAAGCTCGCTTGTATCTTTTAGTCTCTGGCATCTCTGCCGATACATCAAGCCAGTGTTTTAGAGACTCACTCTTTCTCGCTGTTTATCAACAACCTAAAGGTTTGCGCTTCCCAAAAACTCGAACTCTTTTTTATTTTTTTCTCTGTATTCTTTCTTTACTATCCTGTGTGTGTTTCTGTGACTTACAGTGCATTTGTTTGAAATTTATCAAATTTTCGATAGCACTGAACATGTTGTCGAGTTCTCAAAATTGGAGCTTTTGTAATACTTATTGGGCTATTTCTTTTGATCAAGTCCATGTTTCACTGAAATTCGTCTCTATAAAAATTGAAAGCCTACAAGCTGAGAAATTGCAATTGAAATCAGTATTTTACATTTTCTGTTTTTGGTTTGTGTTATGTTTATTTGCTAGGAAGCTGATGAGGAGCAGATATTCTGTAACCTGAATTTCCAGTTTCATGTTCCTTCTGTTGTTTTGATTGTTTACAAACTGAGTTAGTCTTGCAAACTGACCCAAAAGGAGTATGTTGCCTCCAGGGGCTCCAGTTTTTGAGTAATCTGTTCTTGGATGGAAATTTTCCATTCCATTTTTTCTTTTTAAATCTCTGTTTTGTCAATTCTCAGTAATGTAATCTGGATGACATGCAGCTTTTGGATCCATAAGATGGGCAAAAAGAGTAAATCAAAAACTCCCAGAGAGATGCAAGATAATGCATCTACTGTAGAAGAGGAAAAAGCCTCATCTTCGGCGAAAAAACCTACTTCTGAGATTGATGAAGTATTCGCGGGGAAAAAGAGGAAGGGACCTGAAACTGAAAAGGCTAAAAAACCAGTTGAAGATGGGATTGAAAAACCCTCATCTTCAGCCAAAAAGCGAACTTCTGAGATCGATGAAATATTCGCAGGGAAGAAGACGAAGAAACCTGAAACTGAAAAGTCTAAAAAGCCTAAAAATCCAAATGGAGATGGGATAGAAAACCCCAACAAGCTGAATAAAAAGAAGAAAGACAAAAGGATTAGAGATGGTGGATTTGGGGACCTGGCTTCTAAACCGAAAAAGAGAACGCAGGATGGCTTTGCTATCTACACAGAAGAAGAGTTGGGAATTAGTAAGGCAGATGCTGGAAGCACCCCGCTTTGTCCATTTGATTGTTCTTGTTGCTTCTAAATACCTGCGAATTCATGACATTTCCCAGTCATAAAAAAATTTGGTTATGGTTCTGGTTTTGGTTTTTGCAATTCGAGGATAGCTGAGAGTAGTTTTTGGCTTTTCTTATGTACAACAGAACCTGATTAAATGAATTTGATCTTTCTTCAACCAGTGTTATCTTATAACTCTCTGTACTCTGATAATGAATTCTTTAATTTTAGATCATGACTGTACCAAGTATTTAAGTCCAAAATTTGAAAGAGAAGTCTTGAGGTTTCTTCACCCCTTTGTCTACAGCAGCAGACCTTAGTCTGTGGTGATCATAGATTAAAGTCGTTCGTTTTTGCATCAAGGAGTTAAAACTATACTTTGACATGACAACTTTTCTGATAATGAACCATTGGTTGAGGTTCAGTTCAGGTTTACCATATATTTTAGTTTTAATTTATGTTTCAATTATTAGGCATATGAAGCCTCATCTGATCCTACTTTCTGCAACAGGAACACTTGGAGAGCAATGAGGGTGATCCTGAGTTACTTGTTTACATTCCGTGAGTATCCACTTTTGTTGTTTTATGTGTTATCTTCAGGACATGAGTTAAGGAATGCATAAACATGAAATGGATGGGGACAGGGTGATCCATTGGTTGAGTAGTTATACCCATTTTTCCATATTTTCATTCAATTTCAATGGTAACATGTTTTGTTAGATCTCCATAGTCGAATCTGTATGAGTTTGAGTATGGGATTCAACCTTAGTAGCATCTCCAGGTTCACCTAAAATAAATTAATTTGTGTGTCATTTATAATTATCTTTTGTTCTTGTGCTCATCTGCTATATCTGATGTTAAACATAGCTGTACTTAATTTTGAAACATTTGTGTTGCGTCTTGAGAAATTTTATTAAAACCTACCATTCTAAGATGAAATTATCTCTGATGTCGTTACTTTACATTCTGATTGAGTTACATTTGGTTCATTTATTTCTGATAGATTTATATCAGATGTCAAGATCAGGAGCATTTCAATTATTGGTGGTGCTGAGGGAACAAGTACTTCCAAGATGAGGGCATAAGTTCGAACTTTAATATTTTCTACCTAAGGCCTGGATTATATTGGTTTAGTTCGAATAAAATAAATATCAAAACAGTCTTTGGTAGGTGTTCAATGCACTTCATCGCATTTTTTGTATTTGAAAATACTAAAAGCAAGACTGCATTGCTTAAATTAGGTTCATCAACCGAGATGGCCTCGACTTTGCCGATGTTCAAGGAATGCGCCATTCAGGTATTGCTTTCATATTAGCTTGTCCCATAGTTACTTGAAAAATTCAACTTTTCAGCCTCGAAACACGTCTTTTTGTTGTTTTAAGGAGTGGGAAAAAGAGGAAGAAACCGGAAACCGAAAAGGCTAAAAAGCCAAATGAAGATGGGATAGAAAAACCCAACGAGCTGAATAAAAAGAAGAAGAGGAATGCTATTCAGACTCGCTCAAAAGCGATTATGGCCGAACTTGCTATACACGTGTCATGGCTAATGCGCTCTCAAAGTTAGCTATTAAAATAGTATAGAATATTACTATCACTTGCAGACAACTGCAGCATCGGATACACAACACGCATGCTCACATGCTCACTCTACTTGTTACCAATTTTACCCCTCATAGGCTTTGTTGCTTTTTTTTTGTCGAAAGCTTTGTTGCCTTTACTTACTCCCTCACTTTTGTTTTTGGTCAGACTTTACTCTCTCATTCTTACTGTAGAAAGAAGAAAAGTTGCAGAGGCAGGAAGAAGAAAAGTTGCAGAGACAAAAGGCGTCATATCATTGCTTGTGAAGAGAAGACAAATTCTTTGTCATCAGGTAATCTTCTTTGACAGCATTATATAGTGATGGTATCAATTTAGTTGTTCTTTGATAAATATTTTTTTTCCCTATATTGATGTAGGTGACAATGAGCCTAAATATTGATCTAAACTAAATTTTTTTTTTCCCTATATTGATGTAGGTGGCAATGATATGATGCCTTTTGTCTCTGCAACTTTTCTTCTTTCTACAGTAAGAATGAGAGAGTAAAGTCTGACCAAAAACAAAAGTGAGGGAGTAAGTAAAGGCAACAAAGCTTTCGACAAAAAAAAAGCAACAAAGCCTATGAGGGGTAAAATTGGTAACAAGTAGAGTGAGCATGTGAGCATGCGTGTTGTGTATCCGATGCTGCAGTTGTCTGCAAGTGATAGTAATATTCTATACTATTTTAATAGCTAACTTTGAGAGCGCATTAGCCATGACACGTGTATAGCAAGTTCGGCCATAATCGCTTTTGAGCGAGTCTGAATAGCATTCCTCAATAAGGCAGATGCTGGAAGCACCCCGCTTTGTCCATTTGATTGTTCTTGTTGTGTTAAGGATACTTGCGAATTCATGACATTTCCCAGTCTTAAAATTTGGTTCTGGTTTCGGCGGTTTCGGCGGTTTCTGCAATTTGAGGATAGCTGAGTGTAGTTTTTGGCTCTTCTTATACTGATTAATGACTCCTGATCATTCTTCAATCAGTGCCATCTTAGAAATCTATGTCCTGTGATTATGAATTCTTTAATTTTAAATCAAGACTAGTATTTAAGTCCAAAATCTGAAAAGAGAAGAAGTCTTGAGGTGGATTTTGTTGGTTGCAGCTGCACTTTCTTTATCCCTTTGTCTGCTGCAGACCTTAGTCTGTTATGATAATATAGCTTAAAGTGATGCGTTTGAAACCTAGGACTTCAAACTACACAATGATGTAAACAACCTTTCTGATAATGAACTTATTGTTGCATTGCCTGAATCATGGCGATATGCGCCGATATTTAGGTTTTGCTGGTAAGTTGTTACTGAATAATTCATCTTTGCTGGAGGCTCTACAGACTTAATGGCAATGATGAAGTGTGCATGATTGACTGAAACTCAAAATCTTTTTATTTCGTCCATTTTGTTTGCAAGTACACAAGGCATTCCATAAACTCATGGTTGTTTTGGTTTGCAAGTAAAAGAATGCTTGTCAAGCAAGAGGCCGATATCCCTTCAGCACATATAAGCCTTTTGCAATCTGCAAGGCTGCAACCACACAAACATCGAAACAGCAAATTACCAGTCACCAAACAATTGAACAAGGCATCAAATCCAGTCACTGAAACTACAATTTTAACACATTATGAGGGAAGTGAGACATGTTGAATCATGAATGAATGTAGCCACAGATTGTAGCATGAAACCATAGAGCATTTCAAGCTATCTTCTTCTATTGGCAAATATCATATTGGCTCCAAGCGGCAGTCAAGGCACCATGGAATTTAATTGGTTCTTGCTGTTGACTCGTATATTTAGAGCCCAAAACACTCTTTCATTATTTTCATTTACAGGAAGGCTTCTTTAATCTCTGCTTCTGGTGATTCAACATTATTATGGTCTTTTATCCCATTGTTTTCAGGCACCCAAAAGAATCAAAACCCAACATATTGTAATTATAAAAAAAAACCAATTTGCTTGATATACTGAAAGCAAGAACAAAAAATACTTTAGAAGATTTAGCTGCTTTGAATTTGAAGGAAAGCGTGGAAAATGAATGGCTTTCCTCCAATCGTGATGAGTAGCTCTTTATAGGCACCATGCAAAAGGTTGATTGTTATAGCATCAGTAACAAACACCCGTGTCTGACTGGAGTGCCAAAATTCACTTCTTCCAACTTCACTTTTACCTTACCAGTAAAAAAATAATGCAATCACAACAAATTTTTTTAAGAAAAATAAATCCCAGCCTAAATAAAATAAAATAATAAATAAAACAGCAGAGAGATGAAAAAATTTATAGTGGATATTGTGTCATGAAACAAACTGGGTTTGAGTTTCAAGGATCTTCACCCACTACTGTAACTTTACTATTGGCTCCAAGCGGCAGTCGGGTCGCCACCAATATGGGCGCCTGCTGTTGACTCGAATATGGAGCCCTGGTGTCAATTTCTAAAAACAAACACAACCCACAACACAGAAACCAGAACCCAAAACAAATATATATAATTCAAATGAAATTTAATTACCAAGAAGCGTTCATACAACACGGTAATCTAAGTAATGGAGAACAATTGCAGGCAGCTTTTGAGTTCCAGATGGAAAAGTAGGCAGAGATGGAAGAGAAGAGGCATGAGGGACTGAGCTAACTACGAATTTATAGGTGCTGATGCCTAACCCTAAACGTGTACGAGGAAGAAGCATCAAGTCAAAGCCCACTTTCAAAGCCCATGTGTTCAAATAGTTGGGCCTGAATTCTATATTGGGCTAAACACATCATTTTGAGCTTTCTCGGGCCCAACTATTTCAACACGTGCCGTCACGTGACGGCGAACTTCCGGGGGGAAAAAAAAGGGTAAACAATGGCAACCGCCTTTTCGTTGGACTCGCTGACGTGGGGGTTGAAGTCTTCAAACACGTATTCGTTAGTTTTTGGTCCAATTATTCAAACACGTATTCAACCAAAAATTAGAATTAGTAGCAGAGTGAGAGGGTAGGTAGTAGAGTGGTTAATAGAGAGAGAGGGTAGCGACTTTGTTAAAGAAGTGCTGAGACGTTTCTTTTACGCTTCAAGATTTTGAGAAAAGTTTGGGTTTTTTTTTTTCCGACGCCAAACGCCATGGACGCCACCTCATGCTCCGGGGTTCTTCCCCAAATGAAGCTTTCCCATTCGGATCATAAATTATCGATGTAAGCCCTTCGATCATAAAAAAATTTCTGTGTGTTTTTATGTTTGGATCAGTAAAGTTGGCTCTTTTATGGTATTAGATTCATATATTTATATAAATTATGCAAGAAAGTCCTTAAATTTCTTGAGCGAAAGCTTTCTCTTGTATGGCTTTCTTGTTTCCCGGAAAATCGTATTGAAAGTTTACGTTTTTACAACCACCAAATAGAAGCTTTGAGTTATGGCAATTGGGTTTTGGTTTATTAGTTTCAGAGTTTCTGTTGGGCTGAGATATTGAGTAAATGTGTATATGTATTTAGTGGCAGGTCGTGCTCTTACTCGAGATCGCTTGGGTTTGACTCTTGCCTTTCATCCAAGAGATTGCGACTTCCGAAACAGCTCACGGTTTCGTGCTCTACGCCAAGCGATAAAGGAGACATGTTTGGGGTATCACATTCTTGTAAGAAAAGCCCTGTTGGGGAAACATTATGTCCTGCGGGTGTATACACTTACGCTGGAACTGTAGAATCTCATTCCCATACTGCGGAAGAGAAAGTGGGAGTCCTCCTCCTCAATCTAGGAGGACCAGAGACGCTTCATGATGTTCAACCATTTTTGTTCAATCTATTTGCGGATCCGGTATGTTCTACTCAGGCTTGCTTGCCTAATTTGTGTCCCCATGAGTTGTTTACACACTTTTACTGATAAATTGCCATGTTGTGTGAACCAGGATATCATCCGGCTCCCAAGGTTGTTTCAGTTTCTCCAGCAACCATTGGCAAAATTAATTTCTGTGCTTCGAGCTCCCAAAAGCAAAGAAGGGTATGCTGCTATTGGAGGTGGTTCACCGTTGCGAAAAATAACAGATGAGCAGGTAGGGCAGATACATAACTTGTCCTGTTGAAATGTTTCCTTCAGTTTTGTTTGTATAATCTGTCTTGTTTCCTTACCAAAGAAAAGAATAACTGTTCTGCAAGAATTATTATTAAATAGACTATTTGTTGGTTTGTTCTTTTATTTTCGCACTTACATGGTTTTTGTTACTTTCTACAGGCAAATGAACTCAAAAAGGCTTTGAAGTCAAAAGACTTGCCTGTAAATGTTTATGTGGGAATGCGTTACTGGTACCCATTCACTGAGGAAGCAGTTCAGCAAGTGAGTCTTTAATTTCTATATGTACAACACACATATCATATATTAATACTTCCAAGGAGGAAGCTACTTGATTTGGTTAATGTAAATGACGTGAGAAGATAGAATTGTCATCCAAAATCTTCAATCTATATATCTATCTTCTATGTGAGTGAATCAAATAACTGAAATGTTTTCCATTACCTCTGGCAGATTAAGAAAGACAGAATAACCAGGCTTGTTGTCTTACCTCTATATCCTCAATTTTCTATCTCTACAACTGGATCAAGCATTCGTGTGCTCCAAGATATTTTCAGGTGACATTTCACTGTCAATTTATGTAACTACAGACATTTTTATACATTGTTCAATTTTTCCTGAATGTTAGACCATCTTGCAGGAAAGACGCCTACCTATCAAGGATGCCTGTTTCTATTATAAACTCATGGTATCAACGTGAAGGCTATATTAAGTCAATGGCTGATTTGATTTCCAAAGAGCTAGAAATTTTTTCTGAGCCTGCACAGGTGCGCTTGATTAATTCACAGACTCATCTGAAATGGCTCTTTCAATGCAATTAAATTTCTTTTTCTCTTTGGTCAAATGATGCTATCAAGCATATTTTTCAAATTTATTGTATGGTTATTCCACTGACTCTACAGCACTGGTAAGCATTACTAATTTTGTATGAAATTTAGGTCATGATATTCTTCAGTGCCCATGGGGTACCAGAGAGTTATGTGAAGGATGCTGGAGATCCATACAAAGATCAAATGGAGGAGTGCATCTTCTTAATAATGAAAGAGTTGAAATCTAGAGGGATCCACAATGAACATACTCTTGCTTATCAGGTTGGTTATAAAAATCTATTTTCTGAGTTCCAGCTTTTACTATTCTGGCTTTCTTGGTTCTCAGAACTATTGTTGGTTGCTGTCTACCATGTAGGGCTCCAACTTGTGTAAATGTTGTTTTCTGATTATTTTTCTTCCTTATTTTGTGCTTGGGTTGTGATCAGAGCCGAGTTGGTCCTGTACAATGGCTGAAGCCCTACACTGATGAAGTTCTTGTGGAGCTTGGCCAGAAAGGTGTGAAAAGTCTGCTAGCTGTTCCAGTCAGGTATTTCACTTCATCATGATACTCTGATGTCTTGTATATCTAGGGCTATTAGAGAATACCATTTGGTTTGTGGTTCCAACATTTTCGGTTCTTCATATCACTCAAAAGAGAATTAAGTAAATCTGACATCTATTTCTTGCCCAGCTTCGTGAGTGAGCACATAGAGACTCTTGAAGAGATTGATATGGAGTACAAGGAATTGGCCCTTGAATCCGGAATTGAGAATTGGGGCAGAGTGCCTGCCCTTGGCTGTACTCCTTCGTTTATTATGGATCTGGCAGATGCAGTAATTGAAGCCGCACCACTGGCAACACCCATGTCAACCCCAAGAACTATCTCAGAAGAAGTTGATCACGACCCTGCTAGATATGCTATCAAACTGTTCTTTGGTTCCTTCTTGGCGTTCATTTTGTTTTTTTCACCCCAAATGATAATGGCATTTAGGAACCACCTTATTTAAAGGATATTACGATATTTTACTACCCAATATTATACTGGCTTTCTCGTACAACACGGATAGATAAAAGGCAAAAGATCCCTCCTCTTAACATCTTTAAGAGAGAAGTTTTGTATTTAGGCCTTTATCCAGGATATGTATTTTTTTTTTTTAATATTCTTTTTGTAATAATTTTGGTGAACGTTGCTCTGATTCATGAAGGCATAGATTCTGAAGACTGAGTATCATCATTTTATGGTGGTTTCCAATAATTTGAAAAACTACAGTGTCGCTTCCCACAGAGAGCCAAGATTAATTGAACATTAAATCTAGTACGTGTAAGAAAGTCCACAAATTGGGATCTTTCAAGTGCAATTCTAGATAAGGTGCAAACAAAGCATAATAGTGCGCTGCGCAGTAGATATAACACTAGAATGGAGAATGGTTGATGGGTTAATAAATTCGTTCCTCTGAGTTTCATCTCTCTGATAACAATGAATCTAAATATAGAAAACAAAATCAACTAATTAGATCAAGGCCATCCAGAACCTTAGACTTGGTAACCAGTGAATGTAAATCCTCGACCTACAATCTCACCAGCACAAAACCAGGCAAAGCATTCTAAGCCAAACAGGACAGCAATCCCAGCATCTTCCACCCTCAGCTCCTGCCTGTTCTTCCACAGTTGTTTGGCAGAATCAACCTCCTTCCGCAACGATTCATAGCGCTCTGGTATACTGTAAAAGATAACGATAGAGATCAAAGAGGGCAAGCCAAGCAATGTGACTCCAATAGAAATCTTCCTGAAATCAGACAGGGCAAGCCAAGCAAGGTTTACCTTGCAAGACGGGTATAAAACAACTGTTTGGACAAAAGGTTGCATCTTTCAACAGTGGGTGGCTCCTGAATGTAATGCCTGTTCTTCTCCAAAAGCTGCTTGTAATAGGAAGATCCATACTCAGCCGCAACCTTTGAAGCTTGAGTAGCCTTGCCTTGCAATTGAACCAGCTTCGAGGCCATCATCAGTTTTCTTTTTTCTTTCTTCTTTCCCTGGATTAAAGATAGATAACCAACCAAATTGGTATCTTGAAACTAATGTCTTGTCTCAAAATGAAATCACCACATTTGAAAGTGAAAATTTTCAGACCAACAGACCAGACCATGCCAAAAAGAGCTTCGACTGATTTGGGTTTTTGTGGGAGTTGAATTTAACAGATTAAAAAACCATGGATATATCATATGCAAGAAGAATCTGAAACAAGCGAATGCGTAGAGAATCAAATTGCAGATTCATAAACAGCGTAACATACCTTGCTGCTCTGGTGCTCTGTTCTCGTTGACAGAGAGAACTTTTGGTATTTTTTTCTTTTTGTTTGGGTAGAAATATTTGGGTTTTTACACTACAGTCGTGGAGTAGCGACCAAGCAAAGTTTGGCGTGCAATTTGTTACCGTCCGGTGAAGTCTATCCGGTGTTCATTCCCTCCACTAAATTCATTTCACGTCATCAAAGCCACCCCTTACTGTACCAAATGAAATCGGGCAACCCGACTCATTTTGCTACACATGTTAAGAATCAGCAATATATTTGATTTGATTTACTTTTAAATAAAATTTGATTATCTTGCCACTAGAACTTGATCTTTAGGTCAATAAATTTTATTTTTTTTTAAATTCTTTTTAGTAATCAAATAATATCGTAGCCTTATTTAATTACTTTAGTTAGTAATTATGTTTTAATTATTATTTTTTCAGTGAATAATAATATTAAATATTTTAATTAATTTCATAAATTATATTACTTAACAAATAGTCATTAATTTTTTATTTTAATAAAATATTTAGATACTAATTATTCACTAAGTAAATAATAATCACAAGATAACTACAAATTAAAGTAATTAAAAATGAGAAATCAAGATTATGCTAAATAGTATACCCGGGCAGCTATACTAGGTTTTTGCCAATTTTTTAAAAGAAATAGTATAGCTGGCTATACTCGGTTTTTTCAATTTTTTAAAATCAAATAGTATAGCCGCGCGGCGACACTCGGTTCTTTCCAATTTTTTAAAAAGCAATAGTATAGCCGATCGGCTATACGTTTTTTTTTTTTAATTATAAAAGGGCTATGCACGGTTTTGCAAAAAAATTTCAAAAATAGTATAGCCGAACGGCTATACTCGGCTCGGTTTTTTCTATTTTTTTTTTCAACACAGTATCGCCCCCCGGCTATACTCATTTTTTCCATTTAAAATAAATAGTATAGTCGTACGCCTATACTCGGTTTTTTATTATTTTTTTAAAATAGTACAACCGTGCATCGTTACTCTAATCTTTTTTTTTTAAAGAAAAAATAAATAGTATAGCCGCTCGACGATACTCGTTTTAAATTTATTTTTAAGAAATAGCATCGTTGCCCGGCTATACTTGGTTTTTTCACATTATTTTTAAAAGATAGTATAGCCTATCGGCTTCACTCGGCTCTTTCTTTTTCAATAAATAGTATAGCCGCGCGGCTATACTCGTATTGAACATGTATAATTTTCATGTTTAATACATGTATCTTTTACAAAATTTTCTCACACAAAATTCACGTATTATACACATTTTTTATCACATAATTATCACATGTTATATAGTGGGCGAACTTTTAACTTGTAATTTGCCAAAATTTTACCGAATAAAATAACCCGCGCAGCTATACCAAATTAAAATCTATAAAGCATAAACTAATGCAACTAGGAGGGCCCTTTTTCATATATATTTTTTTTATGCCAAATTAATATCTATTTTTATATTTCTAAAATAATAATTAAAAAAAACAAAAGAACCTGTCGCGACAAAATTAACCTCTGCCAACGATATCATCAGGAGATATCTATCCGGCAAACTTTGCCGGTATAGATCTCTGCCGACGGAATTTCATCAGGGGAGTTTTTTTTAAAAATAAATGTAAGTAGGTATGAATAAATACATTCTTTTTCAAGTGCTTATGTGCCTATTATTAGAAATAAGTTTGTAGCAACTATCATTCGAAATCTGTTCAATACATTCTTAGCAAATCTTTCTATTTCTTAATAAAAACCTTCTAATTTGTTCATAATGAGTCAAATCTTTCTTTGTTTTTGGGTCTCATAAAAATCCTTCAGACTCTTCACTATTTGTTGCAATTCTGATGGTGGTTTTTTTTTTTCCGTCCAAAAAATAATAATAATAACCACCATCAGAATTGCAACAAACAGTACCGGTTTCAAGTTAAAATCCCTTTTAAAACATCAACAATATAATAAACAAACAACGGGATCCATTGGATTTTCCCAATGTCACTTCACAAATCAAATACACCTGCCATTTAGAGGAAGTTGAACAAGAGTGAAAAAGATTGGACAAGTATTCAGAGAGAACATAGAAAACGCGAGAGAGCAAGATCCAACAAATTCTTGTAATCATCATATCCTTACAAACCCAAAATACCAAACATATAAGACCAAATACGATGTCCCATAGAAACTAACCTAACTAGCCTTACTACTACAGAAAATACAATAAAACATCACGGGCACTAACCAATCTGTTAAAACCCACTCACCATAACACATCAACTCTGTGGGGAAGTTTTGGCAACTCCACTTGGCTGAGCAGCCTGTGAAGCAGGTGCAGCATCATATGTCCCGCGAGTGTTCCCATTTGCATTGGCATCAGCAGAGTAGGCAGGAGGTTGTGCATATCCAGCACCATAAGATGCATTGTAAGGTGGTGGCGCCTGCCCGTAACCTGGCTGACCAACGGGTGGTGCACCATAGGATGGAGGCCCATACCCAGCCTGAGCTGCGCCATAGCCGGATGATGGGGCACGGGTAGCAGAATCTGGCTGAGCATAACCAGATGGTGGGGGCTGAGAATGGGCGTAGCCTGGCTGCACAGGTGCTGGCTGACCATAGGCTCCAGGAGTGCTGGGCGACTGTGTGGTTTGCCCATAAACTGCGGGATTTGCAGGAGGTTTTTGTGCTGGAGGTGCTCCATATCCAGCTCCATATCCAGGCTGAGCTGGTGGTTGACTACCATAACCAGTTTGAGAAGTTGGGGGTACTCCATAGCCTGGCTGAGTAGACCCTTGGGCTGGGTAACCTGCAGGGTTGGGGCTAGGCTGTTGACTCGCATTGTATCCTTGCTGAACAGGAGGAGGTGCTTGGGCTGAATCCCCCTGAGATCCATAAGAGGAAGTATGTCCATCTTGAGTTGGGTTACTCACATTACCATAGCCAGCTGCAGAATATCCCTGCTGTTGATCATATGATGGTGGCTGACCATACCCTGACTGAGGTGGTGCATGATACCCACCGTAGCCTTCTTGAGGATAACCTTGTCCTTGCTGATTATAGCCTGAAACAGGCGGCTGGCCGTAATTGTAACCAGCATTGTCAGCAGGTGCAGCAGGACCACCCGGATTTTGTTGTTGGTGTGATGGTTGTTGTTGGCCATAGTAATCGTAACCACTTCCCTGGGAAGTCTGCTGAGTTGGTGCAGCAGCTGACTGGTCCCAATTGGAGGGATATCCACCAGATGTTGGTTGAGGGGGATAGCCTGGATAAGGAGGCTGGGCAGCATTATACTGTGGTGATGGGCCAGAATATGCTCCAGACTGTCCATAGCCATAACCAGGTTGTTGCATTGGAGGTCCACCAGAAGCCCAGCCAGTGGGAGGGCGTGCTTGATAACCTTGCTGAGAGTATCCTCCAGCCATTGCTGGATTTCTAACACGATTCTGCAAGAAAATTGTTTTAACAAAATAACCATGGCGAACTTCCCATAATACTGGGATATGGAGGAATAAAGAAACACAAACACAGCATGTACAAAAACAAACATTGGAAACATGTATAAATGAAAATTTCTAAAATTCAACAGAACACATAACATATAGGAAAAACAAAAACATCTTACAGTGATTAATGGATTTCATATTATATTGGAAAAAGGTGTAAACGCCTACATACCGTACTGGTGGTTGTATAAATTGAGTTACTCCAGCAGAAGCCCACCCTCTCCCTATTTGAAGTGAATGGGTACGAGAATAACACAATACTATATAGAAGCTTTTACATAAAAAGCAAACTGACATTTAACCCTAATTGCCACATGAGGCAACAACGTCATGGCAATCAGTGCAATGTGCACACAATAGACTGGATTAGCAAATATCCAAGCAATGCATAGGAATCAGTTTAGCTTTCAATA